CAGTGATCATTTGTTCTTATTGGATCAGCTACCACCCTTTTTATGGGCAGGCTCTTCAGATTATATTGGCAGAATCCACTGTGCACTACCCATCAAGATTCAGATGCATCAGAAATTCTCCTCAGAATTAATAAAGCTTTACTAATCAATTCAATTAATAAACTAACCTATATATAAAGAAGCCCTCTAAGGCATCAGTCCCCTAATATAACATTGCAAGGCTCAGGGCCTCATGATCCCCTGAACTAGTCCTTATAATGTCCCTCTTTTACCTGTGAGAGAACCCAATGGCAGAGGATGGAGGTTTGTCCAGGACCTCCGAACAATAAATAACACTGTTATCCCCTGGCACCCTGTTATTCCTAATCCATGTCCTACTGATACCCATTCCCAACGAAAGCAAATTTTTCACTATTGCAGTGCAGTTTTTAGTATCCCTATTAATAATGATAGCCAGTATCTTTTTGCTTTCACTTGGGAAGAGTGGAACTATGCCTGGGCAGTAATGCCCCAGGGTTACAATTAGTTTTTCCTTTTCACAAAACTCAAAAGCTGATTTGGATAATACAAAGTTTTCTGCAGGCTCTGTTTGTTACAATGCATAGATGATTTGCTTCTCTGCTCCCCTTCTCGAACATCTTTATGGGAAGACAGCATCTGCCTGTTAAAACTTCTGGCCTTACAGGGTCAGAAAGGCTCCAAAGAAAAAATGAAGTTTGCTCAAACTCAGTTTCGATACTTCGAGTATCTGATCTCAGGACAAGGACTACATTTGGATCCAGGTAGGCTCATGGAATCCTGAACTTCCCAAAACCTAAAACTAAGTGCCATTTATGATGTTTCCTTGGACTGGCTGTCTACTGTTGAAATTGGATTCCAAACTTCTCTCTTAAGGCTCAACTTCCATATGTTTTATTTAAAAATGACCCTATTATTTGGAAAGATCATGATGACATAGTTTTGGGAACCTTAAAGAAAAGCCTAATAAAGCTCCCTGTCTTCAGACATCCTGATTATCGACTTCCCCTTTTCCTCATTGTATGTGAGGGGGAAGGGAATGCCCTTGGAGTACTCACCCCAAAATAGGGGAACATCATCAACCAATAGGGCATTATAACCAACAATTGGACCCTGTAGCAGGGGGATAACCCCCTTGCCTTAGACTCATTCCTGCCACTGCCCTTTTGGTTAAGGGCCACTCTGGAGAAATAATCACAGGATCCTCTTTAACCGTCCTGTGTCCTATGTAGCAGAACTCCCTTGCTATCCCCCACCCCCAACAATTCTCATCACACTGAACACTAAGTCAGTTGCCTTGCCTCCTAGGACATCTTCCTGCTAAACTGTTACTCATATAATTCTTCTCACTGTAGTAACCTTAGCCCTGCTATTATCCTCTCCTTCATGGATGAGGTCCCTCAGGACTGCCTAATGCTGACAGATAACTTTTGACTCCCTTTGACAATTTATAGGAAACTCCTCTACCCAATGCATATTTTTCATGGTTTAATGATGGTTCTTCTATAAAGGCTGAAAATGGTGAATATTGTGTTAGGTGCTGTCACAACTCCTTGGGAAGTCCATACTTGCAGATTTAGTTATGTGCCATGCTTGGGCTTGTACAGCCAAGAGTAGAGCCACAAACATTTATACCAATAGTCGGTATGCCTTTGGAGTAGCTCATGACTTTAGAAGTGCTGTGGAAGCAATGCAGTTTGTTTACCTAAACAGTGGGAATAAAATTAAAAATGGCTCCAATGTCCCAAATTTATTAGATGCCATACTATTGCCTGCATCTCTGCTTATTACTAAACTTTCTGGGTCTTCCAGACTCAAACTCCTAGAGTCCAAAGGAAACCACCTCACTGATATTTCCAACAAAACACTGTTCTTGAGGAAACCAAGACCAAAACCTGTCATGGTTGAAAGGGATGTTCTCTCAAATGATGAGTTGGGGAGAAAAATGACAAGAGTTATCCAGTAATTTACACTAGAGAGAGAAAAATAGTGGAAATCTAATAAGTATTTGTTTCATTAAAAAAATAATAATAATAACTCTGGTATAGACCCAATGCTCCTGCCTTGCTAGAAGTCCTAGAATTCCCACTACTTAACATCTCACCATCATTAAACCATTAGCCTACTGACAAAGTAAGTCGTTGGGAATGTTAGTGGGGAAATATTAAGGCTGCAAACAGTGCCTACATTACTTGTCACACCTGTCCGAAGTATAATCCAAAAAATCCTGTTCACACAAACAAACTTTATACAGCTTCCCTGTCTCATGGATATAAATGTCTTTTCATTATTATGCTTCATTATCTCACTGGACCAAGGTTTTTACCATGTAGACAGACTAATGCTTATCCTGTGGCTAAAATTCTCTTAGGAAAAGATTATCCCTGGTCTTCCTGGGTGGCTCAGTCAGCTAAGTGTCTACCTTCAAAGCTCAGGTCATGATCCCAGAGTCCTGGGATCAAGCCCCATGATGTGCTCCCTGCTTAGAGGGAAGCCTGTTTTCTCCCTCTCACCGTGCCCTACCCCCTGCTTGCGTTCTGTTTGTCTCTCTCAAATAAATAAAACTTTGAAAAAAAAAATGGAAAAGATTACCCTCCCTGGGGAACCCCCCTCCCTTGCAACTTCACAGTGATTAGGGAGGTCATTTTACCAGGCAGATGCTTCAACAAGTCTATGCTGTTTGGCCAGTTTTACAACTTTCATCGTGCATACCATCTTCAGTCCTCGGGGTTGATTAGTTGCACTAACAGCACTAACTGACAAAATTTTTAGAGTCTCCAAATATCTTGGCTGAAAACATTGCTGTTGGTCTTCTAAATTTCAGATCCACCCCCTTTGGGATTCCTAAACTCTCACCCTTTGAGATAGTCACAGGATATCCTAAGCATTTGGCCCCTGCCTCCTTTGACACGGAGTTGATAGAAGGGGATCTACTTTAACATTGTTAAAGGCCTAGTTGCTTCTGCTGAAGAGAACCATGATTTTTGGTAGAGCAATCTTTTCACTGTGTACTCAAGTACATGGGAGACAGACTTCAAGTACTCTGCAACTTGGAGATTTCATCTATTAGATTAGATACTTCCAGAGAAACTTATCAACCTCACTGGAAAGGTCCTTATCAGGAACTGCTAACCAACCCTTGGGCCATCAAAGTCCGGGGAATAGATTCTTGGGTTCATATGACACATCAAAGAAAGCTACAAACCCTGACTGGATCTGCATACCAGCTGGTGATCTGAAAGTGAAGATTTCCTGGAATTGAAGCAGATGACCTCTGATGAGACCCACTTTCCCATCATATCCAGACCAGGACTGTGTCCCTTTTCCATACTGTTCATTGCTACTTTCTCTTTTATGAAAAGAAAATGCTCTATATTTCCCAAACTCTTGCAAAAGTGAGAAATATCTCCTTTTGACTTGGTCTTTTGGAAACCACCTTCTCACGATCCTGAGAGCTTTCTCTGAAGGGTGAGAAGGTCAGAACTCACAGAATTCTTTCATCTGAACCATGACCTGACTTCTGAGTCTTACCCAAATTCATGGTTTCTGAATTTACAACTTTACATTGATATTATTGATGACACATTTGCTTCAAAACACTTCTTTTGAGGTAGTACCATTTTAAAACATCTTTGAAGTGTTAAGTTTTGCAACAAGTTCATCAGCTCCTGCTTCATGTTTATACCTGCCCTGTATCTTCCCAAACGCACTCCATTAATTCTTTCCATGTGCTTTTGTTCACCTGCTTTCATGGTTGCTTTAAGTGGAGACTTCCAGGAAACGTATTACTGCAGGCTTGTTTTTGTAAGGGGAACCTTATGTAGGAGAAACTCCCCTAAGTTGGAAAAAATGCCAATAAGCATGTTATTTGGCTACTCTCAGACCTAGCACACCAGTTGCCATCTCTTCTACAATTTGAAATTGTCATGCTTTGTATAATTCAAGTGTTGTATTTTGTTCCCGGTCACACTTTTGTAAAAATCAATGTACTCAAAAAGGTGATGCTGGTGGCTCAGTACTTTAAGATGATTTCCAATGTTTATGACCTTGAGAAGATACAGACTTGAAATGGGAAGTGCCTGAGAGTTCTCTCTCCAAACCTTCCCTGTTACTGTAATGTGGCCTTAAGTGGAACATGGGACATAACAACATGGGATCTAGGAAAGGTCCATCCTGGACACAAGGGACAAAAACCACGAAATGTGGAAAACCTGACTTGTAATCATTGATGTTTTTGAGGGAAGGTCTTGATCAAAGGGAGGAAATGTAAACATTAATAAAGATAAACTTCACTCAATGGAGTGGGAATACAGAAGAAGGAAGCTCTCACATCTTACCAATCACCACCAATTGGAGATGCCAACAGGAAGAGATATAACTTGCAAGTAGATACCATTTTACTCCCCAGCAGGAGGAATAAAGGTTTTCTCCTCCCCCAGCAACCGCTCAGCCAATGAAAGGCCACTATACTTTAAACTCCCTAGTTTACTTTGATGGACTTTTTTTTTTTTTTTTATAATAGCCCTACCAAATACCCCCAGCTTTCCCCTATAAAAGACCAGCGCTCTGCTTTGTTCTCCCCCTTGCCTGTGGTTTTGCTGTAGCCTGCATGTTTGGAATGGTAATTGTCTGCTATTCTTCAACCATTTTTGTTGGTAAAACAAGATAGTTTTATTTTTAAAGTTAACAACTGAGTTCTTTAGGAAACCATTAGGCACACATTTCCTTAGCCACCCATTCCACATTCCCCACAGCAGACTGTCCAGGTTACTGCAGAATCAACATTATGGAAGTTGCCTGCCAACAGCAAGTCTCTGTCTCCTCCCCTAGCCGGACTTCCTCTTTCCCTTTAAGGCCCCCTCAGGACCAGAAGGGACTGGAGTTGTTTGCTGCGCTCTGGAGGGCAGTACAGCAGCCCCGGCTTTGCAGAAAGCCTGCTGGTGGGCAGGCACTCACCCCGTCCCCAGTCCCCTGCCGTGCCCTCTGTTTGGTCTGCAGGCTAGAGGCTGGCTCTTTCCTGAACACCAAGCTCCGTCCCCAGGGAGTCATGGCTATGTCCAGGGGCCGTCTCCATCTTTGGATGTACTTGGCTGCAGCGCTGGCATCTTTCCTGGCAGGATTTTTGGTGGGTAAGTATGTACCCCTTCTCCCCGGTGCAGGGCTGGCACTTCACCCTGCCTAGGCTGGGGAGGAAGGAGAGAAAGCAAGCCTGGAGGCTGTGCGGGCTTCCTGAGCTCCCTGTGTGTGGCCAACTCCAGGGATTTCAGCCCAACTGGAAACCGAATGGAATGCATTTTGACCTTTTTAATGAAGTGTGACTGAAATTCAAATTCATTAAAGGTTCAGTGAGCTCAGGTTACTTGTCAGGAGCTGTTAGGTCAGAGCTATCATTCTCCACAGGCATGAAAAAGGTGGTTTCATTTACAAGCACTATTAATGAGTCAAAACTAGCAACTAATATGAACAGCAGTGCAAAAACTGCCCTTCCTTCATCATTTACTAAATAAATATTTGTGGAATGTTTCTTGTGTGTCAGACGCTGTGCTACGAACTAGATCACCCCAAGGAGAAAAAGAAAGTTAGAGTCCCATGCCTTGGTGCATAACATGTAGGAAAATGAAAAGAATATCTCCTAAAACTAGTTTTAACAAACTCAAAATTACATACACTGCATAGGAGATTTTGAAGGATTTCTATACTTAATAGGAATATTTTTGTAAAGCTCACCTTGATCTATTCCTGAAGTAAGGACAATTTCTGGTCTTCTAATTTTTGTAAAGTCAAAAACAATTGTATAAGTATATGGCAAGTATAGATGCATGAATTATCTCCTCTAGGCTGGTTTATTAAGCCTTTGAAAGAAACTACAACTTCACCATCCTATCATCAAAGTACACGGTGGAAACTCGTATCTGAGATGAAAGCTGAAAATATCAAATCATTTCTTCGGTAAGTTTGTTTTGATGTTTGGTCTTAAAAATGTTGAAAATATCTCAGAGGGAGAAGCATGTTACAACTGGTTATATTCACCTGGGTAATCTTTATGTGAAATTGTATCATCTCACATTAATTTATGGTAGTTCAGAATGTCCCTTTTAACCACTCAGGGTAAAATGTATCTGAATGTTGCAAAAGTGGGTCTTGGGTCTTTCTTTAACTTCATGTACAGAAAAAGTATCTGGTTGCTTTTTTAAGAGATGTTTCAACTACATGTAACTTTAGACAGCAACTGAATCTTGTTTCTTCCTTATGCCTGCTTTTAATCAGCAATTTTATTTGAAGGTCCCATTCTGTCAGGAAGACTTAGATGGTTGTAAACTCAGATTTAAAGGAGGGGAGATTAAAGTTTCAGACTGTCTGCCACAAACTAAACCTTTATGCCACATTGCACATATAAGTAACACAAACTGGACAAAATGAGAGCAAAAGGATCAGTGCAAATCCACCATCTCTAAGTATGAAAAAGCATGACATTTCAGGGAAATGATAATGAACTCCTTAAAGGCAGTCACCATGATATTTGTTTCTATATTCAGACTCTCTCAAAGGAGGGTCATTAAAAGAAACAAAAAACAACAACAAACTCAGCTTTATTGAAGTATAATTAATGTAAAAGGAACTGATCATATAAAGCCTAAAGCTTGACAGTATTGACGGATATATAGTACTTAGCAAACCACTTCTTGAGTCAAGATACAGAAATTTGGGGCGCCTGGGTGGCTCAGTGGTTAAAGCCTCTGCCTTCAGCTCAGGTCATGATCTCAGGGTCCTGGGATCGATCGAGCCCTCCATCAGGCTCTCTGCTCAGCAGGGAGCCTGCCTCCTCCTGTCTCTCTCTGCCTGCCTCGCTGCCTACTTGTGGTCTGTCAAATAAATAAAAAATACCTTTAAAAAAAAAAAGATACAGAAATTTTACATCATGTCCTTTGCAGTTTATTCCTGTCATCACCTTTAGCCCTACGCATCAACTGATCAGTTTTATGTCATTGAGTTCCTCTGCATTTTTGAGAATTTTATATAAATGGAATCCTCTAATATGTACTATTCTGTGTCTGTCTTCTATCATTCAGCTAATAATTTTGGAATTCATCAAGGTTGTTGCACATATCAGTTTATTGCTTTTTATTGCTGACTAGTATTCCATTGTATGGATATCTTGTAATGTGCAGTTGTTGGACTTTTGGGTTGTTTTTCATTTTTGATAACGAACAAAGCTGCTATGAACATGTGTGTATAAGTTTTTGTGTGGATGTACATTTTCATTTCTCTTGGAATGGCTGTATTGGATGATAAGCATTATGTTTAGCTTTTTAAGAGAATGTCAAACAGATTTCAAAAGTGGTAACAGTTTTACACTCCTGCGCACTATGCATGAGTGTACCAGCTGCAGCACATCCCGGTCAACACTTAGTTTTGTCTGTTATTTTAGTTTTGATTTGCATCTTCCTTATAACGAGTGATGTTAAGCATCATCTCCTATGTTTATTGGACATTTGCACATTTCAAAAAGCATCTGTTCACATATTTTCCTATTTTATTTATTTATTTATTTAAGATTTTATTTATTTATTTGACAGAGATCACAAGTAGCCAGAGAGGCAGGCAGAGAGAGAAAGAGGAATGAAGCAGGCTCCCCGCAAAGCAGAGAGCCCGATGCAGGGCTTGATCCCAGGCTCCTGAGATCATGACCTGAGCCAAAGGCAGGGGCTTTAACCCAGGCACCCCCTATTTTCCTATTTTAAATTGTTTTCTTATTGAGTTGTAGGAGTTTTTTGTGTATTCTGAGTACAATTCCTTTGTCGGACATGTATTGTGAATATTTTATTCTGTTCTTTGGCTGGACTTTTTTGTTAGTGGAGTTTTTGAAGTGCAGAAATTTTTAATTTTGGTAAAGTCCAGTTGACCAAGTTTTGATTTTTTTTTTTTTTTTAAGATTTTATTTATTTTTTGCCAGAGAGAGAGAGCGAGCACACAAGTGGGAGGAGCGGCAGGCTGAAGGAGAAGCAGACTCCACACTGAGCAAGGAGAGTGATGTGGGACTTGATCCCAGGATCCTGGGATCATGACTTGAGCTGAAGGCAGACCCTTAACCAACTGAGCCACCCAGGCGCCCCAATTTTTGTTTTTTTCTTTCCTATTCTATGTTCTATCTCACTTTGACTATTAGAAGTATGAAGATTTCCTTCTATGTTTTCTTTTAGATTTTTTTTTTAGAAGTTTTATAACTGTAACTTGTATATTTAGGTCATCGGTCTACTTCAAGTTAATTTTTGTGTATGATATGGTGTAAGAGTTGAAATATTCAATTATTTCTGCAACACTTGTTGAAAAATATTTATTTCCACATTGAATTGCCTTGGCATATTTGTCCAAAATTACTTGACCATATATGTGTGGCCTGGTTTTGGATTTTTACGTTTTCTTTTATTGATCTGTAGATCTTAACACTACATACTGCTGGTTAGTGTAGCTTAATAATAAGTCTGAGAATCCAGTGGAGTTAATCCTATAAACTTTTATTCTCAAAAATTGCTTTGACTACTTTGGGCCATTTGTATTGCACGTTAATTTTAGAATCACCTTCTGAATTCCTACAAAAAACCTGGAATTTTTACTAAACTCTTTTACTAAACTCTTTTACTCAACTCTATAGATAAATTTGGAAGACAAGTAACATCTTTAAAATATAGAGTCTGACAGTCTCTTTTTTTATTTGTCATGGGGGGGTACTATAGTTTAACTTTTCAGCCATGGAGGGACATTTACGATTAGTTTTTGGATATTATGATTAACATTGCTATTCACATTTATGTACAGGTTTTACATGAGCATAGGTTTTCATTTCTGTGGCACAAATGCCCAAGGATAAAAACTGCTAAGTTGTATGGTAAATACATTTTTAGTTTTAGAAGAGTTTGCCTGCTTTCCAGTATAGGTGTATTGTTTAATGTTTTCCATTGACATCATTATTTTTAATTTTACCCATTCTCACAGGTGCATAGTGATACCTCATTGTGGTTTTAAACTGCAGTCCCCTAATAATTAATGATATTGAACATCCTTTTATGTGCTTATTCATCATTTGTATACTGTCTTCAGTGAAATGTCTGTTCATGTCTTTGACCTATTTTCTATTTGGATAGTTTTATTTGTTTTTTTTTCCTATTGAGAGTTGAGAGTTCTTTATATTTTCTAGATAAGTCTTTTGTCAGCTTTGTGGTATTCAAATATTTTCCTCTCTCTCTGTTATTTGTCTCTTCATGTCTTAACAGAGTTATTTGTAGATTAGAAGTTTTAAATTTTAATGAGGTCCAGTTTATTGCTTTTTCCTTTTATGGATCATGCATTTGGGTTCATATCTAAGAACTCTTAGACTAGATCTCTTTTCCCCTCTCTTCCCTCCACCCTGAAATTTTATACTTTACATTTTACATGAATTTTGTGATTCATTTAATTTTTGCATAAGACATAATGTGAGGCTGAGGTGCATTCTTTTGCCTGTGGATGTCCAATTGCTTTGGCATTATTTGTTGAAAGGCTATTCTTCTATTTAATTGCTTTTCACCTTTGTCAAAGATCATTTGGGCATATTTGTGTGAGTCTATTTCTGGCTTCTCTATTCTGCTCTATTAATTTGTGTGTCTTCTCCCTGCACGTACCCCATGGTCTTGATATTTGAAGCCATATAGTAAGCCTCAGTAATGTGTAGAATGATTCCTCTCATCTTATTTTTCTAAACAATTGTTTTAGCTATTCCATATCCTTTTCCTTTTCATATAAAATATAGACTAAACATATTTACATCTCTGTGGGATTTTGATAATATTTGTCCTAATCTTACAGAACAATTCAGGGTACTTGACATTTTTCCTATGTCCAGTCTTCTAATCCGTAAACATAGTCTGTCCAGTTATTTAGATCTCCTTTGTTTGCTTTTATAACATTTTGTAATTTTATAGGATGCAGATCCTGGATATGTACTGTTCAATTTACATCCAAGTATTTCATTTTCTTTGGAGTGGTTGTAAGTCATATTGTGTATAATTTCAGTTTCTACATGTTTGTTGTTAATATATAGAAGTACTGTTGAATTTTGTGTTGATTTTGTATCCTGTGGTCTGTTTAAATTCATGTCTTTAGGAATTTCTGGTAGATTCATTGGGATTTTCATAGACAATCATGCCATCTTCAAATAGGGACACTTTTATTTCTATCTTTCTAAACTGTATGCATTTTACACTTGGCTTTTTCTGTTTGTCTGGTTTTTGTTTGTCTTGTTCTTATTGTGCTGACTGAAATTCCAGTAGTATGTTGAATAGGAATGAGAGTGAACATCTTTTGTTGTTGTTGTTTCTAAGATTAGGGGGAAAGCATTCAAAATTTCTTGATTTAGTATGATAATGTTCACAGATTTGTTGTAGGGGACCTATGTGGCTCAGTTGACTGAGCATCTGACTCTTGATTTTGGCTCAGGTCATGATCTTGGGGTCCTGGAGTTGAGCTCTGGTGGGCATGGGACTCCATGCTCAGTGGGAAATCTGCATGGGAGTCTCCCTCTTCCTCTCTCTCTCTCCCTCCCTCCCTCCATCTCTCCCTCTCTCTACCCGTTTCCCCACCTGTGCTCTCTCTCGCTCTCTCTCCCTTTCAAATAAATGAAAATCTTAAAAAAATTAAAAATTTGTTGTAGATGATCTTTATCAAGTTAAGAAAACTCCCCTCTATTCCAAGAACGCTAAGCATTTTCTTTTATCCTGAATGGATATTGATATTGTCAAAAGATTATTTTTCCACATCAATTTCTATGATCGTGATTTTTTTTTCTTTATCTGGTTTGGAATCTAGTTATTCCTTTACTGATTTTAGGGACATTGGAATCAAATTATATCAAGAAAGGAGTCACAATCTCCAGGACTGTGAAAATGCATATTTTCCCCTATTAATTATGTAAATTTTTGCTTTATATATTATGAAGACCATTGACTAGGCATATACATGTTAATGTTGTTAGGTTGTTTTTTTTTTTAATTTATTTATTCATTTATTTGACAGACCGAGATCACAAGTAGGCAGAGAGGCAGACAGAGAGGGGGAAGCAGGCTCCCTGCTGTGCAGAGAGAGATGGGGCTCTATTCCAGGACCCTGGGATCATGACCTGAGCCGAAGGCAGAGGAGGCTTTAACCCACTGAGTCACCCGGGTGCCCCTGTTGTTAGGTCTTTAAGACAGACTACCTTTTTATCTTTATGAAACATCCTTATCTTTGGTAATCGCTATCTTTAAGTCTATTTTATTTGGTAGAAATATTGTCACATCAGTCTCCTTACACTTACATATACATGGTATATCTTCTTCCATCTACTTTTAATCCATTATTTTCTTCAGAATTTTTCTGTTCACTGTAGAAAATAAGACAATAATTATATAAAGTAGAAATTAAAGATCTCAAGCCCCACTCTTTTTTAATGCATACAAAATAACTTCTGTCTATAAACACAATACTTTTTTTTAAAACAAATATGCTAAGATATTAAATATCCATAACCTGTAAATTTCATTTAATGATATAGAAAGGGAAAGCTTAATAGGAGAAGACGCTGGAGGAGTTCTCATGGGTGATAAGTAGTTTGCTTTCTCTTGTGGGAAAGGAGAATGAAAGAAGTGGTGACAGGGAGACTGAGGTAGATGGGACAGTATTTATGTCTCAGTGAAGACCTTGTGCAAGGGTAATAGGTGGCCACTGCAGGAGGAAAAGGAGTCTACCAAATGCCGTGGGGCAGAGATTTTTTTTTTTTTTTTTTTAGGGCGGAGAATTTTATATGGAGAGTGGTGGGAAATGAAAATGGAAAGGTGGAAGGGTGGCTCAGATAAAAAAGGGCCCAATATGCCATGCTTGAATGTGAACTTTATAAAAACTCACGGTATAGAGAGCCATACAAGGAGTTCAGGCAATTGAATAATATCAGATGAATGATTTCAAATTATCACTATTTCTCAAGGTCAGACAACTATGACTTTCATATTTTAGTCCCAGCATTTCATGACTGACATTATGAAGAAATTATTTAACTATCCTCTCAGTTCCCTTATTTGCAAAATGAGGACAATGGGAGAAGGGCTGTGAAGGCTGCATGAGGTAACCCAGGTGAAAGTGCCTGGTTGCATGCCTGGGATGTAGTAAATTCTCAGCAAATGTCTGTTTTCCCTTACTGCCTATCTTGTTTTGGTTGTGTCCTGGTTGGCTAAAAAAAACCAATTTATAAAAGTATTATTCTCTTACTGAAGGGGTGGTGGGGTAGAGAAAGGTGAGAAAATATTTTTAAAATATTATTTACCTTCATGTAAAATCAGTCTATATAGAAACAATTTTTGTGAGGTCCCTTAAATGCTACAACACATTTATACTCAGAACCAAGAGAACATTGCCCTAATTCAGTTCAACAAACCTGTTGTATAATATCTGAATAATAGGCAGAAACTAAGCAGTAGGCAACATAAAAATGCGTGGACTTTTAACTTGAATGAGATCAATAAACAACAGAATAAATACGACAACAGTGGAAGTATATATTTTAGACTGCCCAGCTGGTCTCTGGCAAACATTATGAACTGCCCTCCCCCCTCTACCACCCAAAATATCCTCCCTTACTGATGATCAGCAGGAAGGAGCACCATTCGTATGGAGGCCTGATCTTCTCCCAAGGTGCTTTCTCATACTGCTGATTGCCTGTGTTTACCATGGCATCGTGTTGTGAATATTGTATTTAAACACAATTTTTAAAATGGAACACCTAGAAAATTGGATCACTTTAGTTTTTTTTTTAAAATATTTGATGTAGAAATGATAATACCTAAAGGATGAGTGATGCATCTGGAATAGTCCTGAGGCATATTGTCTGAATATAGTCTTTAACTCCCACTTGTATCTTATTTTCATTGTAGTTCTTTTACAAAGCTCCCTCATCTGGCAGGAAGAGAACAAAATTTACTTCTTGCCAAGAAAATCCAAACCCAGTGGAAGAAATTTGGACTGGATTCAGCCAAGTTGGTTCATTATGATGTTCTCCTCTCCTACCCTAATGAGACAAATGCCAACTATATATCAATCATGGATGAACATGGAATTGAGGTGATGTGGAATTGTTGGTACTTATTGTAGTTTATAACACCTGTTGTTCATGTGAGTTGGGATATAGGGTCAAGTAAAAATAGAAATTGGTTAATAATGCAGTGGAGCTCATATTTTTTGGAAAATTGATAAGTTGCAAACTAAGGATTCAGTGTCTACTGTATATTAGGCACAGTGCTAAGTTTTAAAGATGGAATGAAGCCTAGGAACAGGATTCTTTTTGCATTAAGTAAGTCAAGGCAGTTGTTAGAACACGTCATTTTAAATCAATATGGTGAGCGTTATGAAGAATATGTTTTGGGTTCTTTACACAGGAAAGATTCACTTAGCCCAGTCTGGGACTTAGAGAAGGTTTCCTGAAAGAAAACCTTTCTAATATGAGAGTCATGAAAGATCCTAAGGAGTTAACCACATGAAAAAGCAAAGTAGGGGGCACCTGGATGGCTCAGTGGGTTAAGCCTCTGCCTTCGGCTCAGGTCCCGATCTCAGGTTCCTGCTTCCCCCTCTCTCTCTGCCTGCCTTTTTGCCTCCTTATGATCTCTTTGTGTCAAATAAATAAATAAAATCTTAAAAAAAAAAGAAAAAGCAAAGTAGAAGAATCCAGGCAGAAGAGAAAATAATGGAAAAGGTTTGGAGACCCATAACTAACTTAGTATTACTGGGGAACTTAAAAATTTTCTGTATTTCAAAAATGTAAAGTACAAATTGGGCCTCAGTAGGAGATAAACCAGTATATATGTTTTGGGGACAGGTTACAGAATGGCTTATACATTGTCCTAAGGGGCTTAGAATTTAACGTCAGTCAGTGGAAACCATTGACAAGTCCTAAGCAATGGAAGGATGTGGCTAGAGAGGCATTATTTAGATAGTTTGGGTCATCTGCAGCTTAGACCTTGATAGACAAGAAGTTTAAATTGGAGTCTTATGAGAACAGTCCAGGTAAAAGATGATGAAGCCCTGAATCAGGATGTAGTAGAAATGAGGAAGAGGGCTGATCTAAGAAATAGGTGGCAATACTAGTGGAAATTCATTAGTGATTGCCTGGAGTAAGGAGATGAAGACAGAGTTCAGGATGACTCTGAAGTATCTGTTGTATGGGTGGCTGGCTAGTGATGCTACTAGTAATAGCAAGGAAAGCCAAAAAGATGAGAAATTCAAAGTCGGACGTGTTGAGTCTGGACATCCAAGCTGAAATAATCATCAGGCCCTTATGTTGCTGGAAATGTCCATATATAAATGTACAAATGTATACATATCTGGAAAGGTGGACATTATAAGCGTAGGGACTATGGATAAAATTTTGGGAGTCCGTGAAATCTGACAACAAGAGAGTATAAAATGAGGCAGATCATAGACTGGGGATAAAACACAGGAAATATTTAAATGCATTTGAAAGAAAAGGGGTCCGGCAAAGAAAGTTGAAAAGGAATCATTGGAAAAGGAGGAGAATCATGGGGGTGCCACCTTCACAGCCCTGTTTTTATATGGCAACTCCTAGTCACCCGAGATTGCCTGCATTTGTAGAAGTTGTTACTGTTTTGAAGGCAGTAAGAACAATAAAGCTCTTGCTCATTGTTGCCAGTGGAATTTACCTGATCAGTTACTGAACCTACTGTCAGAATGCTTAGTCTTAAGTGTATACTTGGGGGCATTATTCTTTAATAAAAATCGGGAATACTTTTTTTCCAACTTCATGTATTTCAATTCTTGCTAGATTTTCAATACCTCCTATTTTGAGCCGCCACCTGATGGATATGAGAATGTTACAAATATTGTTCCACCATATAACGCTTTCTCAGCCCAGGGCATGCCAGAGGTAAAACGCCTTTTTACTCAACTCTTTAAGCCTTCCTTCGTTATTTAAAGTATCCGTAAAGGACTAGAACCAAGGAGATTAGGTAAATCATACATGCTGATCCACACTTAAAGATTCAGTGCTACGAACACACTTCCTAAAAATAATTTAAGAATAAGAAAAAAAACAAATACATAAAAATCGTAGCCTTGTGAAGCAGATGCCACTCTGAAATAAGCTGCTGAACACATCTTTAATTTGGTAATGTCAGTAGATGTTTCCACAAGCTCTTTTCCTTTGTTCATAGTCTGATTTTGTTACAGGTTTATATAGATCATACCACACAAGTGGTATTTAAAAATGAAACATGGGATTTCTTTTTTCTTTTAAAAATCTCCTTTGTTTCACCTACCACCCACCTTTCTCCCTTCTGGCAACCCTCTGTTTGTTCTCTGTATTTTGAAGTCTGTTTATTTAGATTCAGCATGTAAGTAAAATCATATTTGTCTTTCTCTGACTGACTTCTCTTAGCATAATATCCTTTAGGTCTATCCGTGTAGTTGCAAATGGCAAGATCTCATTCTTTTTTATGGTTAAGTATGTGCACACATACATACCCCAGTTCTTCCTTATTCATTCATCCATCAATAGACACTTTGGTAAATAATGATGCAGTAAACATTAGGGTGCCTATATATTTTTTTAATTAGTGTTTTCGCATTCTGTGGGTAAGTACCCAGTAGCAGAATTACTGGATCTTATGGAATTTCTATTTTTAAGTTTTTGAGGAACTTCCACACTGTTTTCTACAGTGATCACACCAATTTACATTTCCACTAACATAATGCAAGGATTTTTTCTTCTCTACATCCTTGCCAACACCTGTAATTTCTTGTCTTTTTGATACAAGTCATTCTGACCCATGTGAGGTGATATTTAATTGTGATTTTGATTTGCGTTTCCCTGATGATTGCTAATGTCGAGAATGTTTTCATGTGTCTGTAGCCCATCTGTATATGTTCTTTGGAAAATTGTTTATGTCAGTCTTTTGCCTATTTTAATCAGATTATGGGTGTATATATGTATTTTCTGGTATTGGGCTGTATGAGGTCTTTATATAGTTTGGATATTAACCCCTTATTGGATATATCATTTGCAACTATCTTTCCCCTCTTTAGTTATGTTTGTGGTTTTCTTTACTATGTGAAATCTTTTTATTTTGCTGAAGTCCCAATTATTTTTGCTTTTGTTTCTCTTGCCCAAGGAGACATATCTAAAAAAAATGTTGTTAAAGCTGATGTCAAAGAAATTACTCCCCTGTGTTTTCTTTTAGGGTTTTATGGCTTCAGGACTCATCTTTAGGGCTTTAATCCATGTTTATTTCTCTGGCTGGTGTAAGAAAGTATCTTGATTTCATTCTTTCACATATAGCTGTCCAATTTTCCTAGTACGATTTATTGTAGAGACTGTCTTTTCCTCACTATATTTTCTTGCCTCCTTTGTCATAGATTAACTGATTATGTAAGTATGGGTTTACTTATGGACATTATTCTGGTCCATTGATCTATGTGTCTATTGTCATGCCAGTAGTATGCTGCTTTGAGGACTACAGCTTTGTAGTCTGTCTTGAAATTGGGATTGTGATAACCTCCAGCTTTGTTCTTTCTCATGCTTCCTTTGGCTACTGGAAGTCTTCGGTGGTTCCATACACATTTTAGTATCATTTTTCATAGTCTGGTGACAAAGGCTGTTGGTATTTTGATAGGGATTGTGTGGAATCTGTAGATTGCTTTGGGTGGTATGCACACTTTAATGATATTAAATGAATTCCACTCTGTGAGCATGGCATATTTATTTATTTCATTTATTTGTGTCTTCTTCAATTTCTTTTATCAGTATTTTATGATTTTCAGGTTACAGGTCTTTCAGCTCCTTGGTTAAGTTATTCCTAGGCATTTTATTATTTTTATTATTATTTTATGATTGTTTAAAACATAGCTGGGATTTTTGAATGATCCCTATTTCCTTTGGTTCACTACCTGCTGATAATCTCTTCAAAACAGAACACACTGTTTAAAGTGTTACATACTGGCATTTTTTTTGACCTTTCCAAGTACTGAAATATTTTCTAAAAACATACAGAATTAGCACATACCAGTTTTTTTATGCCCAATCCAGGAAAGATAACTTTTGATGATGTGGTATTGTGGACCAAACTTATTCATTGGTTTTCCTTTTAATTATAGCAGTAGTCTATATATTTAAAAAAATTTTTTTTCCTTATAGGGAGATCTTATATATGTGAACTATGCTCGTACTGAAGATTTTTTCAAACTGGAGAGAGAGATGAACATCAATTGCAGTGGAAAGATTGTTATTGCAAGATATGGAAAAATCTTCAGAGGAAATAAAGTATTGTATCACCTCCTTTTCTAGAGAGAAGAGGATTGTGTATATCCTCTAAATGTAAATGATCAGCTTGCATCATGTTTTCCAGAATTACCTCAATTTATATGTATTTAAAAAATCTTCCTATTGGCCATGGTTGCATGGGAAATCTTGTTGTTGTTGTTGTTGTTTTTAAGATTTTATTTATTTCTTTGACAGAGATCATAAGTAGGCAGTCAGGCAGAGAGAGGATGGGAAGCAGAGAGCCCGATGTGGAGCTCGATCCCAGGACTCCGGGACAATGACCCGGGAAATCCTGTTTTTATGTTACCTCATACATCTAGAAAGGGAAATTACTTTTATTACAGCAACAAAATTTGCTTTTTAAATTTTTTTGAGGGAAATTTTATGTAAACTGAAAATGAAAGCTCCCCTACATGACCCATTTTATTTGCCCACATGTGATCAATCTTCACAGCTTTTCTTAGACCTAATTCTGTGACATATGAATATAAATATCTTTTTTATATGCTGATTTTACAAATATTATACATTTTTTACAAAGATGCCATCATATACTATATTTAACTTTATTTTCTCACTCAGCAATAATATATAGGTATCCTCCACATCAAAACACTGAGTGTTGTTGTATAATGTGTGATTAAGAGTAGAGGACTCTAGATTAGATCCATACTAGATTAGATACCATAGATTCTGGTCTAGTGTAGGCTCCCTGTTCTATTGATCTTTTACTGTGAGCAAGTTACTTATCTTTCTTTGTCAGTGTTTCTTTATACATACAGTGGGAATAATAGCACTGATAATAATAATAATAGCACTGATCTCCTAGAATCCTTATGAAGATTAAATTACTTTATGTTTGAAAGAACTTATGATAGTGCATGGTACTTAATTGGTAGTTAATTCTATAGAGCTCCTTCCTAAGTAAATATGTTGTTATTTTGGATGGGTGCATAATACTTTGTAGAAGTGCTAATCAGTGTAACTATTCCTATGTTGACAGATGCTTGGCTTGAATTTATTACTATTAAAAATAATTCCATTGTGAACATCTTTGTCCATACCCACTTGAATATTTATGTGAAGATTTTTGTAGTATGGATTCCTAGCAATTTAATGGCCAAGTCAACATGTATATTCTTTCAAAATTTTGGAAGGCATCATCTAATTGCCCTTCAAAAAAGTTGTGACAGATTGTTCTCCCGTTCATATTGTAGGAATGTTTTCTGAGTATTGAAGTGTGTTTTAGTTAGCCAAGACTGATTGTTATCTATCTTTCACTACAATATTTCTGGTAATGGAGACTTCAGAATCTTGCTGGAAAGATTTTCCTATTTGTGGTTAGTTTACATTGTTAAAAATGTTTACAAAATACAGTCAGCAATTTTTCACACACTCTGTGTAGAACTTTAAATTAGTTTAGTTCTACAAGTATTTCTGTGCTGTGCCAGAACTTGGAGGGTGGGTAGTTAAGAGTGAACAAGATATGGTCCCTTTTCTAAAAACATCCTCAGTCTAGCAAGGGAGAAAGTTATCTTAAAGGTATTTTAAAATACTATGATCCATACTATGACAGAAATATGTACAAAATAGAAGAGGTAGAAAGAAGGGAGTCATTAATTTTGCAGTTTTGGCCACAATAGGAATGTTTCACAGAAGAGAGAGGAGCTTGTTTGGAGTTGTTAAAATAAATGAGAGTTCTTAGTTTCCCCAGGAGAGAAACTGTATTTAAGGCATAAAGAACTGAATGTGCAGCAGCATCATAAAAAGCAGTGTCTCCAATTCCTTCCATTATTAAATTGATTTTCTCTTAGATGAATTAATCATCTGCCAGTTCTCCATTATGGATTGAACATTGCCCCTGCAGGTTAAAAATGCCATGTTAGCAGGAGCCATAGGAATCATCTTGTACTCAGATCCAGCGGACTACTTTGCCCCTGCGGTACAGCCTTATCCTAAAGGATGGAACCTTCCTGGAACTGCAGTGCAGAGAGGGAATGTGTTAAATTTGAATGGTGCTGGTGACCCACTCACTCCAGGCTATCCAGCTAAAGGTAAGCATGGATGGGCCTGCCCTGGTTCACCCATTTTTGCAAAAATACTACTTGCCCTTAGTGAAGACCTAAAAGCGAACATCTATTGAATAACCTTCAAACTGCATACAGTTACAATATTTTGGATTACTATAGCTAAGAATTAAAAAAAAATTTCCCATGTATTACTTTTGTTTCATATTTTCATGAGGTGTGCACGTGGAGGGGGAAGGGTCAGTTCAATTTCTCTCTACTTTTAGCAGAGGTGCAGAAACACAGACCCCCATACCCAAAGTAATACTACTTTTACCAAACTAGAACTTTGGTTTTCTGAATTGCTTGGTGATACTATCCTTCTCTAGCTATCATACATTTGTATTATTATTTATTTTTGAATACCTGTCAGTTTTTGGATGTTGTCAAAACTTTTCACATTTCACATGTTAAACATCTGTGTAACTGCCTTCACAATTAAGATAATGAACATATCCGTGACCCAAAAGTTTTCACTCCTCTCTTTGTAATACTTTCCTCCAAACCCTTCCTACCCACTTCCTGCCAGTCCCTAGGCAACCACTGATCTGCATTCTGTCGGTTTAATTGTTTTGAGATCCATCCATGTTGCTGTGTCAGTAGTTGATTCCTTTTTATGCTGAGTATTTCCTTGAATGGATACACTGCAGTTTGTTTATTTACTTGTTGATGGACATTTGGATCTTTTTTTAGTTTGGGGACTCATATATAAACCTCTATGAACAGTTGTATACAAGCCTTCATATTTACATATGCTTTTATTTCTTCTGGGTAAATATAGAAATTGAACGACGGGCTAATATGAGAGATGCGTATTTAAATTTTGGAGGGATTTTCAAATTGTTTTCCCAAGCAGTTGTACCATTTTACATTCTAGCAGCAGTGCGGGAGTGTAGCAGTTGCTGTATCCTTGCTACCTTTAGTTTGGTCAGTCGTTTTCATTTTACATTCTAATAGGTATGCTAAACCTCCAAGTTACATTTTTTTCAAAGTTTTGGGGGCTATTCTAGGTCCTTTCCATGTGAATTTTAGAACCAGTTTATTAATTTCCACTGAAAAGTGTCCTGGGAATTTGATTGAGATTGAATTAAATCTGTAGGTCAATTTGGGGAGAATCGACATCTTAAAAAATAATGAATATTTTGATCTGTGCACATAGCACAATTCTCTGTTTACTTAGATACTCTTTATCTTGGCATGTTTGCAGTTTCACTGTATGGGTTGTGCACATGTTTCTCATTTACCCATATGTGTTTCCACTTGTATGCTTTTTAATAATATATTTGAAATTTCTATTTCCCTATGTTCAGTGCTAGTAAGTAGAAATACTTAATTTGTAGAAGAAATACATCAATCTTGTATCCTGCAAACTTGTTGAACTTACTAAATAGTTCTAGTAGGTTTCTATAGATACCATCAGTTTTTACATAGACGATCATGTTTTCTGCAAATATGTTTTTTTTCCCCAGTCTGGAGGCCTTTTACTTTTTAAAATGTGTTTGCCTTAGTATACTGGCTAGTATGTCTTGTACATTCCTGGAAAAAGGTGTTAGCAGAGATGTCCTTACCTTGTTCCTGCCTCAAGAAGAAAAAATCCAGTCTTCAGCTATATATATCTTTTTGTCAGATTGGGGGAGTTTACTTCTAATGGACTAAGAGCTTTTGTTTTAGCACATTTATCTAGGACTGTATAATGAATTTTGTCAAATGCTTTTACTGAGTCTTGAGATGATAATAAGTTGTTATGTTACTTTCATTAAATTATACTAATAGATTTTTGAATGTTAACCCAACCCTCCCATCCTAGGATAAACTCTACTTGGTCACAACACACTATCCTTTCACATGCTTTGGTATATTGTTGAGTTTAAAATTTTGTTAAGCGTATCTCCTTTTATTCATGAAGGATATTGGCCTGTAGACTGATTTTCTTGTACATTTTGGTCTTATTTTGGTATCAGAGTAATGTTGGCCTTATGGGCTGAGTTGGAAACTATTTCCTCTTCATTGTTTTGTAAGAGTTTCGAGAGATTTTGGCCTATAAACATTTGGTAGAATTCCCTAGAAAATCTTGGTCTGCAGTTTTGTTTGTACGCATGTTTTTAACTACAAATTCCATTTTAAAACAGGTATGTGGCTATTTAGGTTGTCCATTTATTGTTGAGTGAACTTCGGTAGTTTATGTCTTCAACATATTTAGTCCATTTCATCTAAGTTAAACTTGATAGACTTGTTCATAATATTCTCATGCTGTGTGTGTGCGGGTGTGTGTGCATACACATGTGCATGTGCAGGTATGAGAATGATATTCTCTTCTTTATTCCATGGCAATTTTTCTCCCTCCCTTCCTCCCTTCCTTCCTTCCCCTAAACTGTCTTGCTGAAGATTTATGAGTTTTATTGATCTTCTCAAAGAATCTGCTTGGATTTTATTCATAATTGCTACCATTTTTCTGTCTCTTATTTCTTATATTTCTGCTCTGATCTTTATTATGTTCTTTCCCTGCTTATTTTTGCTTCATTTTTTTTTCTTCCTATTTTCTAGAGGTGGAACCTTGCTGTCATTTGATTGGAATCTTCCTTTGTTTCTAAGCTAGGTGTTTTAGTGCTATACAACTATTTTGGCTGAAAGCCAAAGCCCCAATGAGGTTGTAAGTCTGACAGTACTTTTTAGTCTTCCTTTAAAAAGAATGTTGTATTACCATTTGAATAAGATCTTTATTATTCCCAAGATCTCATAAATTCGCTTTAATTTTTTTTTTTATTTTCAGTTATACCTAGTTTCAAAATTTGGGACATAATTTCCAGGCAACTAGTTAACTGAAGCTTCCCTAAGAAGGATTCAAGAGATCCCTGAGGAAATAAAATATTCTTGTAAAATTCAAGAGATTTATATGCAATGTCAAAACAAATTTGGAAATTTATAATCCCCACAGTTGATTTTACATTAAAATTTGAATGATTTAATTTCTTACTGTTGAATTAAATAGGTCATATTAGATAAAACAATCAGTGGGTTTGGGGGAATTTTAAATTTTGATATAATTTCAAACATGTAGTAAATCTGATACAATTTTAACCATGTAATAAATATAGTAATAAAAGACATTTCTTTATACCCCTTGCCCAGATTTTTCAGATGTTTTCATTTTATACAATTTCTGCAGAGTACACCTTTAGACTTGATGTCAAAGAAGGAGTGGGAATTCCCAAGATCCCTGTACATCCTATTGGGTATAATGATGCAGAAATATTACTACGGTATGATTTTCTAATTGGATATGATATTTAAGATGTTTTATACTAATGTGTCTATTTTCTTGTCTAAAACCAATGTACTCTAATTATGTTAAAAGTAAAGTCTGGTTGTATACACGAAACCAATGTTATAGGTCACTTATACCTCAAAAACATTTTTTAAAAATTAAGGAAACAAAGTAGGAAAATACTTCCTGAAGTAGGAATAACAGAGTACACCAAGAAATAGCAAGAAACCATTAGTCTCCTACAAAAGAAAGTATCAAGTGCAAAACTGTATCCAAGATAAAAATACTGACTGGAGATTTTTCAAATAGTTGGATTTTCTTTGATATTCATTTGATGTTTGTACTTGTATTTTAAAAATATTACAGGGCCCGGGGCGCCTGGGTGGCAAAGTGGTTAGGCGTCTGCCTTTGGCTCAGGTCATGATCCCAGCGTCCTGGGATCGAGCCCCGCATCAGGCTCCCTGTGTGGTGGGGAAGCCTGCTTCTTCCTCTCCCACTCCCCCTGCTTCTGCTCTCTCTCCTGCTGTGTCTCTCTCTGTCAAATAAATAAAATCTTTAAAAAAAAAAAAAGAAAAAAATATTACAGGGCCCTCTACTTATTAGATGTGTGAACTTGGACCAATTACTTAATCTTTCTCTGGTTCAATTTGCTTATCTGTGAATGAGCACAGTAATTGTTTCTCCCTGATAGGGTTATTATGAGGAGGAGATGAGACCAATGCAAGTGTATAAAGTATCTAGAATATAGTAAACATTTAACTAATGTTTGCTAATGTTGCATTCTGTCACTGATGTTCTTTCACAAATTTCCAACTTTTGTTTTTTAGGTGTCTATACCAATAACATTTAATAATTGCTTGGTGAGTCTAACTAGGTAATCACCAGCTTCCCTAGAAATTAATTTCTTCTCCTTTACATAGTCATGAATTTCGCATTTTCACTATTTCTTAGATCTAACACTTCCCTACATAAAGTCAAAAGTAAGAAGGCTGATGTTTCTCATTTCCACTCCCTATTTTTTTTTTTCCCAAGCCCTCTTACCACAAACATATTAAATATTTCATATATTTCAATTTTGGCTCTCTTGATAAAATGTAAGTTCCACAAAGAAAGGGAATATTAATAGTACTTGGCTCAATAAATATTTGTTAAATGTATGAATGAAATATCACATTATCAGACTCCATGATTTCTTCTAAGAAATTATGATGCTCAGCCTTTTTCTGTTATTTTTATTTTCTCTCAACAGCCACATGGGAGGAATTGCTGTACCCGATGACAGCTGGAAGGGAAGTCTTAATGTGGATTATAACATTGGGCCTGGCTTTGCAGGGCATGATTCCTTCAGGTAATTTTATATTACTTTAATAGACTGGAAAAGTTTTGTATGTTTAATGGAAAAATGTCAAGGTAACTTCTTATATTTTGCTTGTCTTTTTCTCATTTTTCATAATGAACAATTGATCATTTTATATCACTTAAGAAATACTTATAGAATGATGTCCTGAATTCTTCTTCCAATAGAGAGATCACAGCATTTGTTTTATAAAGTCTTAAACATGACTACATTTGAGTTCAGGTTTAACATTTTAACTGCCTTTTTCATCCAAAGTTGTAAAACAATGTTTCAGATAACCCAGTATTTCAAATGTATAGCATTTTGAAAGTTACCTTAAGGGAAGGGGTAAAAGAGAAAAGAGAAAGGAGCTCACATTTATTGATCACTTACTGTGCAATGAGTTAAAATAGGTAAGCACGTAACTATTGTAAGGCTCAATGCATTAGCATTAGCACTGTTGTAGAGGAGTGATCCCAGAATATTTATTCATTGAGCTTATAAGTTTCCCACTAGATCAAGGCAGGCAGGAAATGCTAGCTGGAGAGATCAACTTGTGTAGAGATCAACTTGGCAATATTTAGAACTTCAAGTAGTTTGATTTGCCTGTGGGAGAAAGGGAAATTTAACACTGATAAATCAGTGTTTTGATTAAGTCTTTTGATTAAGCCCAAATCAGTCGATCAGTCTTGTTTGCTGTAACTTTACATTAATCGTGCAAACTTGGATTCTTACTAATTTTTTTAGTTTAAGAATGTTTTTTCAGCACTTTTAAAGTATTAGGAGTTAACTCCTTTTATTTTAAAGGAATTTTAGAAATACTGTAAGTGCTTATTTATCTCTATAACTGAGAACAAAGAGTTACTTTAATATAAATGTTTATTATATACAATAGCAAGAAAACCTAACATGCACAGTGAAAGATAAAGGCCTTTCTGATTTAGAAATGAAACATAATGACACAGAGAACAGAGAAAACATACAGCTTCAGTTCTATAATTTCAGTTTAGGAGTAAATTCAGAAATATACAAATCCCTTGGTCTAGATATCAAAATGTTCTCCTTCACAACGGGCACAAATTTCCTAATTGATTTGAGCTCAAAATGGACAAATACACAAATAAAACTCCCTTGTTCTTTCTCACCAAAAAGAGCTTTTAATAATTAACCCATTTACAGAGGTTCTGTCATTTTTCACCCAGATGAACTGTCCAGATTATCATTTCTCACCCAGAAGAGCTCTTGATAATTAATCCATTTACAGAGATTACCAAGTGACAAGACATAAAACCAAATTCCTAACCATTGCTGCCACCAATAGGGAATAATTCACCTGCCATCAGCAAACTAGAAATACAAAACATAAAATCAGTAGGAAAGAGAGTATAAAGTTAGAAGTCCACAGAAAGAAAGACAAACCAAGAAATAGACTCTTAATGACAGAGAACAAATTGATGACTACTAGAGGGAAGGCAGGTGGAGGGGATGGGTGTAATAGGTGGTGGGGAGAATAAGAGTACACCTACCATGATGAACACTGAGTAAAGTATAGAACTGTTGAATCACTATATTGTACACCTAAAACTAATACAACACTGTATGTTAACTGTATTGGTGTTAACATTAAACACTTCCTAATTAAAAAGAGATACAGAGTCAGCAGAGTGAAAATTCTGTCACTGCTCTGGTTTAACCTCAGAGCCAAAAGAAGACATGTCTGGGTTTAAGCTACCCATACCTGGTTCTACAAGGTGAATCCATTGTACATCTCAGTGGGACTTCAAAAAATGAACAAATGGTGATTTTTTTTTTAAGTAAAACCATGTTTCTCCTACAAATATAAAATGAACATGTGTCAAAAATTTCATTTAATTCATTAAATAGTAAGGGAACCACAAAGGAATTAAAATTTGTTCAAAGGAGAATTCATTGATGATATCAAAAAAGTCAGCACATCAAGAATGCTGAAATTGAAGTACTTAATAGCAGAAAACTAGTTTCTTCTACCTTGAAGGAATCCATTAAATATTCACTAGACAGATTGTATATTTCAGTGGATGTGGAATTTCCACAAGTTAATCTTGATCTCTACGGAGTTGTGAAATATTCTAGTCAAAGACACTGATAGGCAGAGTGATGAATGAGCTAAGGCCTTTTTCACTTTTTCCTGATAGGAGTGTATTCATTCATTTTACAAATATTTGAGTATTTACTGTAACGCAGGCACTATTCTGCATACTGGGAATTCAGCAGTGAACAAAACAGAAAAAATTCCTTCCCTGTGGAGCTTACATTATAGAGTTCATGTTGTTTGGAACATGATGAGTTTGAAGTGGTAACAGGACCAACAGATCCTTTTTTAAAAGCTTTTCGAGTCATTGCTTCTAAAAACTAGAAAGAAGTATTACATATGTGGTTGAGCTCCTCTGAGGATCTGACCAGATAATCTATGTTTATTTTCAGGTTTTGATTAAAATAGATTTTTTTTCCATTCCTTTTTTGTAATATTCTTCTTTTATTCATTTAATGACATAATATCAATGATTCAGGGTTTCTTACTGATAAATCTTAGGCTCAGTTTTAGAAACATGCTAGAAATCTTTTTGCTTCTTTGTTATTAATTTTTATCTCTCAGCAAAATAAATCCTAATGTCTTCTAAAATATAAAAAATACCCATTGATTAGTTTTTCTCCAAAGACACTTTACTGAATATCACACATGCTTTAAATATGCATTCAGAAGCACAATATGCTTGTAGAGGGGAAAAATAAGTACAGGTTTTGACAACCTCTTAGTTCTTCCATTCATAAATAACCACAAATTAGAAACTGCTGGGAGTCCTCTCTTCCACCGCCCGCCTCCCACATAGATAAAGACTCATTTTGTTTCCTTGTGAAAATGAGACTGAGTATTTTCCCATGTCATTTTGGATTCATAGATGTGAATAACTTTTTCTTTTTTTCTATTTTAGTCTGACCATATTTTCCCTTTAATTTGGTTAATTTTATTTCATGAATGGATATTTAAAAGGCTAGCCCAAATCAGAATCAACAGTGATGGGCTAGAAAAGTTTCATTATATAGTTGTCTGGTACATTTTAGCAGGTGCTTTCCCAAATTCCATTTCCTTCCCAAATTTCCCATGTTTCTTTTTGGCAGTACTCAGCCAGTACTGACATTCTGCTTCAACAATCTTACACCAGCAGTCATTAATGTAAATACAAAGACACAATTTAAAAACACTTATTTGTCTCTTAAGACATAATTGGCTGCCTTCCTTATTTTTGTACTTTATACAGTGTTTTTAAAAATTTTAGAATAAATACCCAAAACATTTTGAATAAGAGTATTTTGGACTTTAAATAAATATCAACAATATAGCTATGAGGGATGAATAATAAAAATATTGACAGTTCTTAAAATCTGACTTTAAGCATGCGTAAGTACTTAAGAGTAAAATGCATTAGCCATTGACACATTGCACACATCAACAGTGTTAATGATTATTGAAATTAGTTTGTGGATATATGGGAATTCATTGTCCCATTATATAATTATCTGTAATTTTGAGATTTTTCATAATAAAATGGTGGAACAAAACTGTTAGATGTAATAATCTATATAAAGTAATTTATTCCCTTTGAAATCCTAGGAAGGTTAGAATGCATGTTCATAACACCAATAAAATTACAAGGATTTACAATGTAATTGGAACGATCAGAGGATCTGTGGAACCTGGTGAGTCTGAATGTTTTTAAACACTTCATTTTTACAAAGATTAAAAGAGTAAGAGAAAATAAACTTCAGTCAATAATTGATTTTTTTTCTCTGTGAAACAGCTACATTTGAAAAAAAAAATTGTACAACGCTAAAAGAAACCCTTATCTTATAGTGTTGATTTTTTTTCCTATGGAGGAAACTCAACCAAAAGGAAGTTTAAGTTAAAAACTTAAATCGCAGGCGCCTAGGTGGCTCAATTGGTTGAGTGACTGCGTTCAGCTCAGGTCATGATCCTGGAGTTCTGGGATCGAGTCCTACGTCCAGCTCCCTGCTCAGCAGGGGGTTTGTTTCTTCCTCTGACCTTCCCCCTCTCATGCTTGCTCTTTCTGTCTCTCTCTCTCTCTCTCTCTCTCTCTCTCAAATAAATAAATAAGTAAATAAATAAATAAATAAAATCTTAAAAAAAATAAATACCTAAATCACAACTATTTGTAATATATTGAAAGTTGTAGTTCTTCTGAACACATTATTTTCCAGACAGGTATGTTATTCTAGGAGGTCATCGGGACTCCTGGGTGTTTGGAGCTATTGACCCAACCAGTGGAGCTGCTGTTTTGCAAGAAATTGTCCAGAGTTTCGGAAAACTCATGAGTGGAGGTAAATGATGTTTCTTTGGTTGGTGATGACAAAATGTGACTCACTTGTCTTCTGTTTTTAGATAAGTGTACCTAATTAATGCATGTTAACAATGATTGCAGGCTGGAGACCTAGAAGAACTATCATTTTTGCCAGCTGGGATGCAGAAGAGTTTGGGCTGCTGGGATCCACAGAATGGGCTGAGGTAAATATGACTACAGGCTCTTGTTATTTTCTTGGTCAGCAGGGAAACAAATACATGTATCTTAGGATAAGATCCCATCTGAGAAATTGTTTTTATTTTCACATTAGTTTGGCAAAGCAGAATAACCTCTAAATTACTGGGCCAAAACCAAATTTATTCTTGTCAAAGCATTTTGGTTTCCATTTGCATTTATTTTGTGAATAAGTAAAATTTGTAAGCTCAGAGAATAAACAAAACTAGCAAGCTTTTCTGACAAGAGGACTGACCTATGTAAAATGGATATAGATCCTTGGAGTTAATTTTCAAGTTTTTTAAGTTTCCTTGGAGTTCTACTTAGGAAAAACCCATGATATTTTTAAGAAAACCTAAGGTAACTGTACTTGGGTTATAATTTTACACTTGTAGATTCCATGTAAATTGCAACCATAGGTATATTTTACCATTCTACAAAAGAAAAATGCTTGATTGTTGAGAAGATAATTTTGTAAATGGAATTACTCTAGTAAATTGTCTTTATAATTTTAGATATTTATTTTTTCTTCAGGTATCATTGATTTTTATGTTACACTGCTTCCTAATGCTTTAAGTGTCTCTCCCAGGCCCCCTTCTTTCATCTTCTTCCCTTAGCCTTCCTATCGAGTAACTAAGTTCTTTAATGTACAAGGTAAGGAAATGCATTTTGTAAAGACATGTGCACTATATAAGCACATAGTCTCCCTGCACCATGCATTTATCTTTTATGAGTTGGTTTTTATAGATTGTTTTAAAGCATGTCATACACTTCTTATTAACTAGTTTTTAAAATAATTTCCTCCAGACTCATTTCCTCTTAACTTTACTTTAAATAATAATGTGAATGAAATAAGTATGGAAGTAAAATCACACAGTTTCTTGTCTCCTGTCACTTATCCTTATATTCAGTTGACACTGCAAAGTTTTATCATCACATCGGTAATCATGAATATGCATTTTAGAAGTAGACTATTTAGATGAATCAAATTTCCTTTACTTTTAGAAAAGCAAATTCTTGTGAATGCATGAATATATAAATAGATGTCCCTGTTTCTCTAAATTTAGCAGCTTAAAGTACAAACAATCTAAGATATAAAGTAATAAACATACTTTGCAGTAATTTAATAAATGTGGGTTAGGGAGAGTTTCAACACTTTCCAATATTCAACAGCATACTTTCTTTAAATATAGTTAAGGAATCTTCTTTATTTCTACTAAAAATGTGTTGCAATGGAAACTCTTTGTACTATAATACAGGCAACTGCCATCCCGGCATTGTGAGCAAGTGTAGATGGGGAACAGTCCTCATTTGTGCCAATAACCACACACAGCTTTAATTTTTTTTATTGTAATATATTTTTTCTTAAATTTAAGTACAGTTGACAATGTTGTATTAATGTACAAATTGTGGGTTGACAATCTTATACATTATGCAGCTCACCATAATATGTGTAGTTACCATCTATCATCATATAAAGTTGTATTATTGATTATGCTGTACTTTGCATCTTCATGACTTATTACTGAAAGTTTGCACTTATTAATGTCTACACCTATTTTGCCCATCTTTCCACTGCCCTCCCTTCTGGCAACCACCAGTTCTCTGTGTTAGCTTTGGTTTGTTCAACAAATATCCCACTTGATCATGATAATTGGTCCTATTAATGTATTGTTGAATTGGGTTTCATAATATTTTGTTGGGAATTTCTGAGTCTGTGTTCATCAGGGATATTAGCCCATTATTATTATTATTTTTTTTTTTTTTAGTGTCTTTATCTCATTTTGGTATTGGGGTAATGCTCGCTTTATAGAATGAATTGGAAACTTTATTTCCTCTTCTGTGTTTTGGAATAGTTTGAGAAAGAGAGGTATTAACTCTTCATAAATATTTGGTAAAAGTCATCTGTGAAGCCACTGGGCCTGGACTTTTGTTTGTTGGGAGTTTTTTGATTATGGATTCAATTTTGTTACAAGTAATTGGTCCACTCAGATTTTCTATTTCTTCCTGATTCAGTTTTGGAAGATTGTATGTTTCTATAATCTTATGTTTCTTCTAGACTGTCCAATTTGTTGGTGTATAATTTTTTATAGTATTTTATAATCATTTGTATTTCTGTGGTCTTAGTTTTAACTTTTTTTTTTTCTGATTTTTACCTGAGTCCTCTTTTCTTGATGAGTCTGGCTAACATTTTATCAATGTTGTTTATCTTTTCGAAGAACCTGCTGTTTCATAGGTATTTTCTCTAAGTTTCCATTTCATTTATTTCTGTTTTGATTTTTATTATTTCTTCTCTCCTTTCACTAATTTTGGGCTTTGTTCTTTATGTAGTTCCTGTAGGTATAAGGTTAAATTGAGATTTTTCTTACTTATTGAAGTGTAGACCATAATGTATTTCTATAAAACTTTCTTTTTAGAACTGCTTTTGCTGTGTCCCAAAGAATTGAATTATTATTTCCATTTTCATTTGTCTCCACGTATTTTTTTATTTCCTCTCTGATTCTTTCATTTACTTACTGGGTGTATGGTAGCATATTGTTGTAACCTCAACATATTTGTGTTTTTGACAGGTCTTTCTTTGTCATTGATTTCTAATTTTATACCATTGTGGTTAGAAAAGATGCTTAAGATGATTTTGGTCTTAAACTTACTGAAATTTGTTTTGTGGACATACCCTGAGATCAAATCTGGAGAAAGTTTCATGTGTTTTAAAGAAATGTGCGTTCTGCTGTTTTGGGGTGGAATATTCTGTATATATCTGTTAAAGCCATTTGGTCTAATGACTTACTCAAAACCACTGCTTAATAATGGATTATCCAGACCCAAAAATCTATCTATTGCTAGATGTGGGCTTTTAAAATCCTTTAGAGTATTACTATTGGTTTCTAACTTTTTATGTCTGTTAACATTAGCTTTATATGTTAGGTGCTTATTTACTATTATATTTTCTTGTTGGATTGATTCCTTTATCCTTCTATAATGCCTTTGTCTTTTAAAGTCTATTTTGTTTAAGTATTGGTACTCCAACTTTCTTTTGCTTCCATTTGCATGGGTATCTTTTCCCTTTCCCTTCTCTTTTTGTCTGTGTGTCTTTTGATCTGAGGTGTCTCTTTTAGATTGCACACAGATAGATTTTGTTTAGTCATCCATTCAGTTACTCTGTCTTGATTGGTCCATTATAGTTAATGTAATCATTCATAGATACTACTCATTGCCATTTTGTTGTTTTGTGGTGTTTTTTGTAGTTCTGTTCCTTTGTTCTTCTCCTGTTCTTCTCTTCCTTTGTGTTTGATGGTGTTCTTTAGTGTTATACTTAGGTCTCTTTCTCTTTTTGTGTATTATGGGTTTGGGGTTACCATAAAGTTCCCATGTATATAGCAATCTATATAAGTTGATGGTTGCTTAGATTTGAACACATTCAAAAGCATTAAATTTTTACTCCCAAAACACAAATTTTATTTATATGATGCCATATTTTGCATATTTGCATATTGCCTAATATTCTAAATATATTTGATTTTATTAGTTTTCTTTTAACCTTCATATTAGCTTTGCAAGTGATTTATTTACTACCTTTACTAGAAGTTTGCTTTTACCAGTGAAATTTTTTCCTTTCATACTTTTTTTCTAGTTGGACTTTTTCTTTTCTACTTAAGGAATTACCTTAACACTTATAAGGCCAGTTTAGTGGTGATGAATTCCATTAGCTGTTTTTCATCTGTGAAACTCTTTATCTCTTCTTCAATTCTGAATGGTAAACTTGGTGGGTGGAGTATTCTTGGCTCTGTTCCCCCAGTGTCCTTTTAGCACATTGAATAGATTTATGGCCTCCCTTCTGGCCTACAAAATTTCTGACGAAAAATCAGCTCAAAGCCTTATTGAGTTTCCTGTGTATGTAACTGTTTGCTTTTCCCTTGGTGCTTTTAAGATTATTGAAGTTTTCCATTCTAACTATTCTGTCTTGGTGTGGACCTCCTTTGACTCATCTTTTTTTAGGAGTTACTGGATGTGTGTTTTCTTCTCCAAATTAGGGAGGTTTCCAGCTGTTATTTCTTCAAGTAAGTTTTCTGCTCCCTTCTTTCTTCTTCTGGGAACCCTATAATGCAAAAGTTACTATGTTTAATGTTGTTGCAGAGGTCCCTTAACTTGTCCTCATTTAAAAAAAAATTATTTCTTTTGGGTGTTCAGCTTGGCTGCTTTCCAATACTGTCTTCCAGCTCACTGATCTGTTCTTCTGCTTCCTCTACTCTTGTGTGGACTCCCTCTAGGGTTCTCATTTTAGTTGTATTTTCAGTTCTGGTGGGTTCCTTTTTATACTTTCTCTTTGTTGAAGTTCTTAATGAATTCATCCACTCTTCTCTCAAGTCTGGTGAGCACCTTTATGCCCATTACTTTAAATTCCTTCTTAGGTAGATGGCTTGTCTTCATTTAGTTCTTTTTCTGAGATCTTATTCCTTTGTATGGAACATTTTCCCTGTCTCCTGACTTTTGCCTGACTTTGTGTTTGTTTCTTTATTAGGTGGAACAGGCACCTATCTCAGTCTTGAAGAAGTGGCCTTAGATAACAATGCCCCTGTGTAGACTGTGTGCTTAGTGGCTTTGGCTAGCTGATTGGTGCTGGATAGGTGCTGGCTGTGGCACTTTGCACAGAGGCACCCTGTCAGGTCAGCTTGAGCTGAAGCAAGAATAATTCAGAGGTTCCTGGAGCACTTGGCACCATGGTCCCCTGGAAGGACAGCTGAAAGGGAGCAGGCTCAGGCCAGGGGTTTTGGGGATGCTCCACATTGGGGCTGCTTTGGTGGGAGGGCTTGAGTGGTGACCAATAGGCCAGGTGTGTGCTTGGGTCACCTTGGTGGAATAGCTGGAATTGGTGTGGGTGAGGGGACCAAGTACCTTTGACTCTGGAAAGAGTTCCAGTAGTTAAGCTCATTTGGCAGACATTCTAGGGTTAGTAAATGAATGTCCTTCACTTAATAGTCTTGTTTCCCTTTGAACTGTTTTGTTTTTCTGTGCCCTAGGGTGGGCAAGTCTGCAAAAGGGCCCCTCAGTCCTATCTCTCCCTGCTATAGGTTGTCACATTGTGGCTAGTTGTTCCCAATGTTACTGTGTCTCTGCTGTTCCTACCCTTCTTTAAGTGGTCCCTCTATTCTTTCTTGTGCAGAAGCTGTTCAATCAGCTTTCATTCTTCTTCAGGAGGAATTGCTCTATATGTAGATGTAGATTTGTTGTCTAGGAACTGAATTCAGGGTATTTCTGTGCTTCTATCTTGGACCGCCTCCTATTATAGCATGTTCCCATAAGGTAGCAAGCCAGATAGAAGTAAGAGGCGCTCTCAGCATATTCCCATCTGTGTGATAGTGTTCTCTATCTTGTGTGTGTGTGTGTGTGTGTGTGTGTGTGAGTGAGCAAAAGCAAGGGGAAGCAGGAGAGAGGGAAAGAGACTGTCCTAATGTTACTTCTTTCCCTGTAGTTTTTTTCTATCCTCCTTTTTAAAAATTACTTTCTCTTTATAGTTCCTCTTTTAAAAATTGATAAATGGAAATTCTCTTTTTCCTCACTTTTACTTTACTTGGGTATCCAGTCTCAGTATATCTCTCAAAACTTCAGTGTATGCAAGGGTTTCCAGAGATACCTTGTAGAAAATACAGATTTCCAGGACTTTCAGAAATTCTTGTTCATTAGGTCTGCAGTGGAGCCCAGAGTCTGGGAGCCTCACCCCATATTCTAATGCAAGAAATCAAGGAACCACACTTTTCTGTGACAGTTCCTGCTATTGCTATAAACAGTAGCTACACGATATTTTTCCTACTGATTTTAACTGCATTAATGTTGTTAATCAGCCAGTTATCTGTATTTTCTTAGAAATTATGTTCAAAGGCATAGGTGTTTGATTCATAAAGGTATCTGTAGACCACTTTTATACTAAGTTGCCTTTTTTTTTTTTTTTTACATTCCCACAATTGTAAATATTGTGAATTAAGTAACAACTTTGCTTTAACTGTAGGAGAATGCAAAAACACTCCAGGAAAGAAGTGTTGCTTATATCAACTCAGATTCATCTATAGAAGGTATATTTTATTTCAGATTATTAAAAATCTTTTGGGGGTGAATGTGCAAATTGTAACTAACTTATAAACAAAGATTATTTTCTTCCTGTCAAATTCCTCACTGATACCTTAATTTTCCACTTTACCACAGAGAAAACTATGATTCAAATGAGTCCATGTATGATTCATAACTAAGCTACTGATCCTAATTTCTTTAGTATATTTGCCATTTGCCTATCTTGAATTACTACTTAAAACTCTAGTATTAATCACCATCTTCCTGTGGAGATATTAAAAGAATTAGGCTAAAATATTTGAGAAGAATGATGCTAGGGGTTACGGTGGGACTTGCTGCCTCAGCAGCCAAAACCCTCCTATAACTTCCCCTGTTTGAAGTGTACACTTTCTTGCTCCTGAAGAACCATTTCCACCCTATTAAGATTTTATTTATTTGATAGAGATTACAAGTAGTCAGAGAGGCAGGCAGGGAGAAAGGAGAAAGCAGGCTTCCTACTGAGCATAGAGCCCGATGCGGGGATTGATCCCAGAACCCGGAGACCATGACCTGAGCCGAAGGCAGAGGCTTTAACCCACTGAGCCACCCAGGTGCCCCTCCACTCTATTCTAATTCCTTGGGAATGATGCCTTCAATTTCAAGTCTACTGTATCTTCTTTATAATTAGAAATAGTTAGACTTCTAGTGGAATTTCATTTGGAAGTATTAAAACACACTGTGTTTTATTTTTCCAGGCAATTATACTCTCAGAGTTGACTGTACACCCCTTCTTTACCAGTTGGTGTATAAACTGACAAAAGAGGTAAATAAATCTGTCTTGTTTTCTAATGAATGGGTAAGTGAATAATACCGGTTTTCTTAATTAGTAGTAGTGATTTTTAAACTGGAAAGAGACCTTAATACAGTATTTATATGACCTAACTATAAAATAGTATTGATAGTCTCTTCTAATAGTAGCTATTAATAATTGTGTGCACTGTCATGTTGTAGGTATACAGAGTCATGTGGTAGAGGCATTCTGGTAGTACAGTGAGCTGAAATGGAAAAAGCCTTGGGTTCAGGCCCAATAAAGTGAATGTTAGCAGCAAAAATAATAAAAAGACATGGTTACTGAATCCAAATACTTAGTAGTCCAGAGAGGATATATACTCATAAATGAGGAATTATACTTCACTAGAATATTGGGTACTACAAGCAATGGAGAACAATTATGGAATAGAAAATGTGAAATCCTGGGGTAGGTGGGGAGGCATCAGAAGAGGTTTACAGAATATTTAGTGTGTGGGCTGTAAAATGGAAGGATATGAAAGAGAGAAGGCATTCTCAGCATAGAACTCAATACCTAAAACAGATGTGGAAATATGAAAAAAGTATTTCCTGACCTCTGGGTGGCTCAGTGTGACATAATTCTAAGGTTTTGGTGGAGAGATGGTAAGAAATGGGGCATGACAGGCCAAGTTCAGACATCTGGTGATGGAGAAATTAAAAATCTTTAACAAGGTTATACATTATCATATCTATCCATTAGAAAGATCACTGTCAGTGCAGTGAGTAGATTAAGCTGTAGCAACTCAACAAAATAGAAATAATAATCACATAGGAATTTTGTAAATATTGATAAAAAAGTATTCTGAACTCCCTAATGTACTCTAAAAATTATATAATCTATTCACTTAACATCTCTGTACTTCATTTAAATAGTTCATTGTAGAATTACAGAAATATTGAAGTAATGTGTCACTTTACAATGTGTAGTGTCACTTTTCTGAAGGTACTATTTCCTACTTTCCCTTATTATTCTTTTTCCTGTTAGTGTCTCTAAAAACTACTTTTCCCAAAGGAGTCCTCTCATTATTCCCATCCCAACACGCAACAAATTGGGTAGCTTGTGTTCTTGATCCTTTTATTGGACTGTCCCATAAAAACATCTCCTCTAAAAGCAAGCTGTAAGGAAAATCCTGAGAAAATCCTTTTCAGCATATGCATTTATGCTTTGTGCTGTCCTACAGAGATGGCTCCTGCCTTTGATGTCAAGGATAAGAATAATTTTAGGGGTGCCGTGGTGGCTTGTTAAGCATCTGGCTCTTGATTTTGACTGAGGTCATCATTTCAGGGTTGTGAAATTGAGCCATGTCAGGCTCCATGTTGAGAATGGAGCCTGCTTGAGATGCTCTCTTTCCCTCTGCCCCTCCCCCCATGCTTGTGTTCTCTCTTAAAACAAACAAAAACAAGCAAAAAACCAACCATAAGAATGTTAGGGCCAATGGGGAGAAGTTTAGGTCTATGCACCTTTGTAAGGAGGCAGATGCTTATCTATGGCCATACCAAAACCCAGTAGAAAAAGACTTTTGTATTCTCCTGTGAACCGATTATTATAATTTTACCAACTCCTAGTATGTGTTAGCACAGTCACATCATGCTGGTAACACGAGAGTAAGAGAGTTGTAGATAGGGCAGAGCTAAGAGAGAAGGGCAGCTGACTGATCAAAGAAATGGGACAAGGTGTTGAAATAATGGAGGGTCAGCATCTATGTGTGTATCAGAGACACAGGTATGATCTAAGGAGACCGGGCTGAAGTGACACTGTTCTGGTTAGTGGCAGGTTGAGATGGTGATTACAGAAAATGAAAGGATTTTTCAGGGAATTCAATGTAAGCAGGATATGGGAGTTGGAGGTTCTCAGCTATTGCAAGTTGGGAGAAATGGAGTAGAGTAGAACCCGATGAGTTGGCTGGAAACGGAGAGAACATCTCTGCAGCTGCAACGTGCAGCAGGCAGAGGGATGCCTGTGGGGTGCTGGAGCTGTTTTTAAGCTAGGGCTTCATGTGCAGTGAGAAGGCAACAACCAACTCTGTATAAGGCCAGAGAAAATACCAGAGGAACTGATGTTTATATTAAGATGGGGACCATTATTCCCACTTCCACAAGGTGAGAAAACTAGGGCTTCAAGGGGGGAAGCAATACACAAAAGGTTAAAAGGCTTTCAGAGCTGCATGAGTAGGATATGCCTTTTTTTCTTTCCCTTTAAAAAAAAAAAAAAAAAAAAAAAACAACAAAGAGCTATAACCAGACAAATTACAGGTGGGTATATGTGATAATATGGATTTAAAATACATGTTAGCCTTCCAAGTATGCAATTTTTCCACACATGGCCCTGCTTCAAGTGAAGAAAGAAAAGTATGTTTATGGGCATACTTTTAATCAGGATAGTATAAAAGGTTCATGCAATTTACAGAAGCTCTTGAATTTCCAAATAGAAATCTGAGCTTATACAGAGCTTTTTACAACCCATCAAATTCCAAATTTGCAAAAATAAATATAATTTGACTTTCTAAAATGGCAGTACCTCCTTACCCCACCTGCCCTACAAAACCAACTTCAAACTTAGTGTCTTCAGCCTCATCTCTTGCCCTGAGGCCTCTTTTTTATAGGTCTTCATGGACAAAAGCAATTTACTAAAGTAAATCCTGTATCTGGTTTGGCCCAGTAAAGAGATCTAAGCTCCCAGAAATCATAGTGATGACATTCGCTGGAACTCTAGTAAAAAGTTTACCGAAAGAAGCAGGAAATATTATCCCAGATATAGGGCAAAATTACCATTAGGCAGCCAACAAAAATAAGAATTTGGTTGCATTTTTTCTTTCTTGCCATTTGCTTTTGTTTTTCCATAAAGAACATGACATGTATCCATATAGTTAAAAAGCTGGTAACATATGGTATTATTATTGGCATAAATTTAGTTGCTTCTGTGTCTAATTCACAGTATTTGATTTTTCATTCCAGATCTCTAGCCCAGATGATGGTTTTGAGAGTAAATCTCTTTATGAAAGTTGGTTGGAAAAGGACCCTTCATCTGAAAATATAAACTTTCCTAGGTAAATTACTTGTGTATTTCTTACCATAGGATAAATTATGAATTCTCCTTTGCCCCTTGTTTCTCCAGATATGCAATTCTTAGATATGTCAACAATTTGACTAAAGAGAATCCCATAGAATCCTGCTTGTAGCCTTCAATTTGGTAAATGGACAGAATGGCCATCTTTGAATCTTTAAGAGTCTAGTTTTGCAGAGTTTTAGTCAAAGTTATTTTGCCACATTATCAGGTACTCTTTTGCATTCTTGAATTAAATTTCAAATATGTTAGATGTATTAATAAATCATGTAACTCCAAATGATAATGATGAAGTACAAGAACAAGATTATTTGCTTCTAAAGGGGCATTATAACCACCAGATTGTCTTTACCTGTAATCAATTTAGGCTGTTTTAAGTATTAATTTTTTTACTTCTTATTCATACAACAGCTTTCTTGATTTTTTTTTTTTTGGTTTCTCCTGCAGTACTATTTCTAAAAACTAGCAGAGGATGGTAGAGTGTATAGCTTCATTCTATATTCCAAATAAGGGCTGTGAAAGTCTGTTTCCACTATGGAAGTTTCACATGCTTAAAAAAAAAAAAAAAATACTGGAGTAGAAAAAAAGGTTTGAAAAACATCTAAGGTTGGGGGCACCTGGCGGCTCTATTGGTTAAGTGTCCACCTTTGGCTCTGGTCACAATCCCAGGGTCCTGGGATAAAGCCATGTCTGTGCCCTGCTCAGCAAGGGGTCTGATTCTCCCTCTGTGCTCTCTCCCTCGCTCAAACAAAATCTTAAAAAAAAAAAAAAAAAATCCACAGTCTAAATTTGGGAAGTGTATAGTTACAGTCTTAATGCAAATGTAATTTTACTTTCTGCTTTACTCACCATTAAAGAATTTTTGGGTTAATATATATATGTGTGTGCATGCGTGTGTATAGTGGTTTACTATATGCAAAGAAATTGATTTTAGTTAAATTTCTAAATAAGTCACATTTAGATTCTTAATGATCTTATTTGTTTCTCTTTATTTTAAATATACTTTAATATGGTAGGTTTTTTTTTTGTTGTTTTTAAAGATTTTATTTGAGAGAGAGAGAGAGAAAACACAAGTGGGAAGAGAGGCAGAGGGAAAAGCAGACTCCTGCTGAGCCAGGGACCTGATGGGATGTGGAACTCCATCCAAGGGTCCAGGGATCATGACCTGAGCCAAAGGCAGACGCCTGACTGAGCCACTGAGATGTCCTTCATGGCAGTTTTCTTCCTAGATTATAGTTCTCTGAGAATGAGGAAATCTTATTTTTCCCTCTAAATAAATACCATAAAATGCTGACAAAAAGAGACTACTGTCTTAGTAGGGAGCCTGCTTCTCCCTCTCCCTCTGCTTACTGCTCCCCTGGCTTGTATACTGCCAAATAAAATCTTAAAAACAAAACAAAACACTATATATAGTCCCTTGGTTGCTGTCTTTGGTGGCACTGTTCAACTCCATGTAGTAAAATATCTTGGAGTGGTGTACCTTTTCCTAATTCCTATAAATATGCTATGCAATTCCTTGCTTGGTTCACTGTCCCATTTAACTTCATAATTTTTTTTTTATTTCTCCATGTGTGTATATTTATATTCTACATCCAGAATCAACAAACTGGGATCTGGAAGTGATTTTGAAGCTTATTTCCAGAGACTTGGAATTGCTTCAGGCAGAGCCCGTTACACTAAGAATAGGGTAAGCCATTGTATTATTTTGGATACACAGAACGACCAACTTGTTAGGAATTTTAAAAAGTTTACTTTTTTGGCACTAGGTCACGTGGCCCAGGAAAAATTTCATGGATAAGAGCTAACTTCATGTCCCTTTGTAGATGGACTAGGAATTTGGGTTATTCTGTCTATCTTCCCTGCAGGATTATTCAGTGAAGCGGTAGTTAACAGAGTAATGCCAGATATTTAGCTGGTTATCAGAACCAAGTAGTTCATATCTTCTTTGGTGTAGGTTTTGTTGGAAAGCCTCATTCTTCTCATCTTTTCTTGAGGAAAACAAGCAGGCGAAGAACCTGTCTTGGTTACAGGGGATGCCAGAGTCTTTACTGGTTACAGAGTCTTTATCGTCAGTAACCCCTCTTCACATACCCACTCCTGCCTGTCATCTGAGCCCAGGGCTTCTGACTATGGAATAAAACAAGTTCCTCATTTTTCAGTTGAATCTTTTTTCTGTTCTGCACGGACTACTTTACACCATTGTCACTCAAACATACTGATGATATGCAAGTCGTAGGATATGCCAACATATACCATGTCTGCTTGATTATGTTAAAAATTATGTAATAAACTGGGGCACCTGGGTGGCTCAGTGGGTTAAAGCCTCTGCCTTTGGCTCAGGTTATGATACCAGGGTCCTGGGACTGAGCCCTGCATTGGGCTCTCTGCTCAGCAGGGAGCCTGCTTCCCCTCCTTCTCTCTCTGCCTGCTTGTGATCTTTGTCTGTCAAATAAATAAATAAATGAATAAAATCTTTAAAAAAAAAATGTAATAATCCAAGGTGAAAATTCCAACAGTAAACTCAGATTAGTCACAGATTTTAGTAATTTTGAAATAACTGCAGTACACCAACATCTTGCTTTTCTAGAATACATACCCCTTGCAAACTGGACTACCCAGAAGATGACTGAGAACAGAAAAGAAAGCAAAAACAGTTCCAAAATAACCCAAAATAAATGTATAAGTCTGTATACTAATACTCATTAAACTTTTTCAAGGCTTATTCACTATTCACTGATGACCTATTCTAGCATCAATCCGAACAAAGTTATCTAGCTTTTAAGACACTGTAGATTAAAAGCAGAGTATTAAATACTGACATGGGGATTCCTTGTTGTGATACTAAAAGCAATAAAAATGTTAACCTTATAGCAAAGTAGCAGAGAGACAAAAACTAAATTTAGGAAAGGCAGCCCTAAGTCAAAAAATATTTACTTAAAATACCACTATGTAATAATTTATCCTGGTAGCCCATAATTATGTAATAAAGGATAAACAGCATTTAGTTATACAGTTTGGAAAGGAGACAAGGTGCCTAAATATCAAATTCCTAAACATATGTATCTTAGCCAACCAGAACCTTTCATTTTCAATCAATTGGTAATTTTAAACTGTGCTAATATACAGTTTGAGTATGTACTCCTTAATTTCAGTTATCAGAAATACAATAAAGACAATTTTCAGGAAGTATTTTGAATGAAGATTACATGAATTATAAAACAACAGTGAAATTTTAAACTGGTAAAACATGATAGTGTTTTAGTTAGATATTAAGTTTATTCTGCTTCATTGTGATAAAACTCAGGGTGCCACATGATTGTATTTTTCCTGCAATCATTTTTATTATACCAATCCTGTAATTTGAATATTTAATGTTTGTATTTAGTACCTGTTTTTTTCCTCCTCCTTCCCCCCCACCCCTTCCAGAAAACAGATAAATACAGCAGCTACCCGGTATACCACACGATTTATGAGACGTTTGAATTAGTAGAGAATTTTTATGATCCCACATTTAAAAAACAGCTTTCTGTGGCTCAGTTACGAGGAGCACTGGTTTATGAGCTTGCAGACTCTGAAATCATTCCTTTCAATATTGAAGACTATGCAAAAGCTTTGAAAAAGTATGCATCAAGTATCTACAATTTATCTAAGAAACATGACCAACAACTGAGAGACCACGGAATATCATTTGGTAAGAATGGCTGGGTATTTTATAATCTTTAAGTCAGAACTTTAAGACCATCTCCTCTTGTCATCACTGTACACTCTTTGATCCTAGAATATATACCTGCATCACTTAATTCTTACCTCTAGAAAAAAACCCAAGCACTTTTAAAGAATGTAATTTCATCTGATACTTATAGGATGAATCCATATTGCTAAGTTAATGCTACAGACATTGGTTTATAAATATTTTCCCGATGTTGCTGTCTTTAAAAATTTTTTTCCGTTAAAAGAACAATACAATACAAAGATGAGAAAACCTATTCCACTACATATTAAGTATCATTATTATTGCATATTATTTGTCTACATTCAGGATTTCTTTTACATGGTTTTAAGCATTGTTTCATATTTATGTAGCCATTTTGTGGTTGCTATTTTATACTATGTACCCCTTACAAAGCAGGGATGAACTGGGTCTGGAAGTAGTTATGCAATTCAAATCCTGGCTTTAATGTTTAATCACTGTATGATGCTGGGAAAGATACTTGGCCCCTATGTGTGTGTCAACTTTCTTAGGAGTGAAACAGTAAAGAATATAACGTGTTTCCAAGACAACTGTGGGTGACTGACCTAGTTAATATATAGAAACAATGTTATCTACCAGTAGGGTTTTATTGTAACCATTTTAATCTGGGAGTACATGTTCTTAGTATACACCAAAATTATCAAATTTGTATTCAGTGTCTACCATCTGTAAGTTCTGTGTTAATTCCTGGGAGATAGAAGGATGTGTGAAAAATAATCATTGCCCTCAAAGAGCACAGAATTTCACATGAAGAAGACCAGAAGGCCGGGGACAAGTTGTTATAGGAGTATACAGAGAGTACTACAGGAATACAGAGAGTAAGTACAGAGTAGTCAGTAGTGGCTTTTGAATATTACTATATCCAAATTCGTCACCTTCAAAGTTATGATGAGCAGTAGGTACTAAGTTCTAGAGAAAGATGATGCAAAGAAAATTTAGGAAATTGTGTTTATATCAGTGATTGGAGAACCTCTGTAATGAAGGGGCAAATAAAAAAAAAATGAGGGGCACCTGGGTGGCTCAGTGGGTTAAAGCCTCTGCCTTCAGCTCAGGTCATGATCCCAGGGTCCTGGGATTGAGCCCCGCATCGGGGAATCTCTGCTCGGCGGGGAGCCTGCTTCTCCCTCTCTCTGCCTGCTTCTCTGCCTACTTGTGATCTGTCAAATAAATAAATAAAATCTTAAAAAAAAATGAAACTGCAGTCATAAGATGGACATTCATAGTTCTTTGGCTATCCAGCATCCAGTTCTTGTCCTAGATGCCCTGATTTTTTTTAGTGAATTACTTTTTATCAGTTGAAGTTGGTATCCAACCGAGAGGGCACACAGTTAAAATGGAAGGACTCTCTTTACACAGGTTGATTAACCTCATCTATCTCTTAATACCCAGCCTTCCCCCCGCCTCCCATATTGTCAAACTCTCCAACTCATTTGTGACACTCCATCCGGATTAAACATTGATAATCTTCTATCTCCTACCTAATATGCCCTACTCCTTTCCCAATCAAAATTCACCATTTAGTACCAGGCAAAAACAGGCACTCAAAAAATGTTTTAATGAAGGAATGATGGATGGGATGGATATATAATCTGCACTCCTGGTCTCCAGTTCCTTACTTCCTTCTACCATTCCAGCACACTGTCTTCCTACCAGTCTCCCGAAATTGTTTACGCCAAAGTTATCACTCACCCCTATTACTAAATACCAGGGACACAATTTATTTCTTATCCACATGGACTACTGTGGTTCACTGGAAATTTAAAATTCCTTCAATATTTTTCTGTAGCTTCCATAGTACCTATTATTATTTGGTACATGGTTTTAGAAACAACTATACTAATTAGAGCTTAAAGGAAATCTAGGACAAAGAAAGATTCTTATTCTTTATATTGAAGACCTAATAGCTTGTGTCCTGAACAGTAAGTACTCTATCTGTAAAATGAATATTGTCTCCCCTGCTTCACAGATTAATGAAAGGAGGATAGCAATAATTTATGTTCAGTTTAGAAAAGATGCAAAATGATAAATAAGGTAATTGTAATAAAAAGTACACTAAGAACCTTCTCACTTTACTTAGAATCTTTGTAAACTAGAGAAAAGCCTGACCAGAAAAAAAAAACCTGACCCTATTTCTGTGTCCACATACGTCAGCTCACAGGCATACTTTAAACAAGATCTTAAATGCACTTCTTACAAAGAGGGATTTAGTCTATAATATTGCAAAAACCTAACTCATCTATAGCTGTATCTAGTATCTAGCATACAGATGTACCAATAGTATGTACTGAATGAGTACATACATGAATGATTCATTTCTGGTAAATTGGGAGTTAAAAGAATTAGTTATGTCCTAGACTCCTGGAAGTTATTTCCTGAAGAAACAATTTAGTCATTTTCTATTTTATATATGTATATAATTTTTATATACTTTTATATAAAATATATATATATATATACACTGTTTCTTTGTTATAATATTTTCTGATAATTTCCATGGATTTGCAGGAAGGCGCAACACTGTTTGCCTATCTATTCACTCATATCAGCCTGGAATGGGGACAGCAGGAAAGTGAACATGTGAAATAAGCAGCACTTACTAACTGAACTTCCACTTTTGTATTTTTAAAAGATCCTTTATTTTCTGCTGTGAAGAACTTCTCAGATGCTGCTTCGGATTTTCATAGAAGACTTACACAAGTTAATCTTAATAAGTAAGTTTCAAATGTCAAGCTCCCCATCATTCTGAAAACTGATCTGGTTACTAGAATGAGTCGTGTACACTTACACTCGGCTCTACCTCACTGCTCTTGAGGTCTGTGAATCAGCAGCATCAGCATTACCTAGGAGCCTGTTCGTTTGATACTCTCATTCTAAGACCCACTCAATTCGAATTCCATACTTTAATAAGACGCTCCAGAATGGTTTTTATTCACACTGAAGTTTGAGAAGCCTTACTCTAAATAGTAGACAAAAACTCATCCCCACGACAAGGGCCAAGGAGGAGAGCTGGGAATTCACAGTTCCACAGGCTTAAGTGCATTTGTAGTATGAATTTCACTATGATCCCAATACTTCCCTGTCCTAATGCAGAATTGTTTTTATTGATACAATTGTTGCATTTCACTTAATCACTTGCTTGAAATATAATGAAAAACCCCTTGGATTGTAGGAAAGCCCAGAGAACTTATGTAGCACCCCAGAAAGAGAGCTGGCAAATTCCAAGTGTGAAAGGGGAGTCCTGGCATGCAATACTTCCCATCCTTCTTGTAGAATGAAACAACTTCCCCTCATTTGTTGTTGTTCAGTGTTTATTCAGTGGCACTAAATGGCTTACCAGGAACTTAATAGCACACCCAACCTGCCTCTGCAGGAGGCCGGGCTCTCCTCCTAAAAAGAATTAAAAATGTCTTTCTATTCTTTTGGTGATCTTGAAAAACAAATGAACCACTACCAATAGGTCTTTCTTACTGTGAATATTAGAAAGATATCTCTGTTGTCATCTATGGTTTACATATGAGGCATTATCATTAATCTGCATTTTCTTAAAAGCCTATTGGTTTTAGAAATTCATTTTTCCATGCCTTATCCTGTATTATTTTAAAATACAGTTCCATGGTAAGGGTTATAGCTACTTATTTCTTGTTTTCCCAGTCCCATTGCACTGAGAATCATGAACGACCAACTGATGCTCCTGGAGAGGGCATTCATCGATCCCCTTGGTTTACCAGGGAGGCGGTTCTATAGGTAAGGAAGCAACAGGTGTTTGACTCAAGGACATTAGCTACTTTTCTGTGACCAAAACCAGCATGCTTTAAACTCTTGCCGTCAGATGAATGGAAGGCGAATATGTATGCTATGAGGAACATGGGTAAGATTATGTATAGTAGTATAAGTTGTAGTATCAGAAAACTTCATGTTTATTTGTTTGCTGCAGATGTAAATGATAAACGGTAGATGAAAAATAACTCTAAGAAAATCTAAAAGCTATAGAATTTAGAGGGAATCTTAGAGCTTCTGTAATTCAAACTTCTACATTAATCTTTCCTATAGCATCTGAGGTAAGTAGCTATTTAGCCTCTGAATCTTCCAGTCCATAGGAAGCTTCCTACCCTCATGAGGAAGGCCATCTCATTTTAAGAAAGGTCTAATGTTAGTTTCCCTCAGAAAGACCTTTTTCTCTGTAATCTTCCTCCATCTGACCCTGTTCAGCTCTTCAAAATCAAATAGGATAAATCTAGGTCTATTTCCATAGAACATTATAGTTTTTTGAAGATGACTGCCATATTCTGCTGAAGCAATATCCTCTTTTTGTATCTGTACCTCTGTGCTTTCTTTCACTGTCTTGGCGGTGTGTTTGGACAGTCTTATTTTTCTAGGTACCTCTTAAACTGCAGGTCCTCGGTGAAAATTTGTGAGGCGACTTATCATCAGATACCATGTGCCAGACATAGTTCTGCATGTTAGCTTTCTTATAAATATTAGTTAACTAGTATTAACCTTTAATTTTAAGCACACGCTTTCAGAGCCCAGCTCTGGCTCATACTCAGCAACCTGGGCAAAAGATTTACCTAAATTTCAGGTTCCTCAGCTATAAAAGGAGAGGAGAGTGTAACTGCTTTCATCCCATAGACTTATAGATTTCAGGCATGTGGCAGATTTAGCTCAGAGAGGAATGTACTCAGTAAGTAGCTATTTTAATAAAGTTATAAACAGTAATAATTCATTATTGATACAAATAAAACAGCCATTGGTTAAGTATGTACCTGTCAAAAAGCTGAAAGCAAATCTACATGTTAACCCCCTCTTGCCTGTATTAGTCTATTATTCATAAGCAAAACACCTTTTTCTCAAAATGAATGCAGACTCTATAGAAGCTTGTAGGAGAAAAAGGGACCATGGTCCTTCAGCATTTCCTACTGTAACCCACACCCAGGCATTTGTTATTCTCTTTAAAGAAAATTGTTTTATATACATGTGTATATATATATTTATTCATCTGTATCTAAATTAATGGGACCATACATTTTGCATCTTGCTCTTTTTTCATAACAATTTATCTTAGAGAACTTTCCATGCCAGTATATACAGTTTTAGCTCTCTCTTATCTGGTATATAGTATTGGTTTGGCATGTATGTATAATTTTTGAGTCTCTGTTGACTCTTTAATTCGTTTTCCCCTCATTTACTTTTAGTAAAAGTACTGCCATAGTATGTTCTTGTGCCCTTTTGAGCATTTGTCTTTATATCTATATAATCAGTATGCGGATTTCAGGGTCAAAAAGTAAACACATTCTATCTAAGTAACTGCTACACTGTCCTCCAAAAAGACTGCACTATATTTTAAAAACTTATAGGAATTATTAACTGAATATTAAGGCTATATTCTAAAGCGAGGGCAGTACCAGATGGCAATGTAGGAAGACCCTGAACTCCCCTCAACCCAGGGACACACTGAAGCTGTAACTATATATGTAACAGTTTCCTCTCAAAAAGACCAGAAGACTAGCTGAGCCACTGCTTCATATCAAACAAGAAAAAGGCCATACCAAAGACAGTAGTAGGAGAGTCCGAGAACTAATCATGCCATAAACCCATCTCCAGGTACACAACCCACAATTAGGAGGGAATTTATAAATCCAGAATTTCTCCCTTGAGGAGAACAGTTCATACCTCAAACAGGGTACACCAACTTTTAAGACTTGCACCCGAGGTTAGTCTCTAAAATATCTGGCTACGGGGCACCAACTACCCAAAGGGCTACAGTGAACAGACCAACAGCTCTTAAAAGAGCTTGCATGGACTCACCTGCCACAGGGCCAATACAGAAGCAGCCCTCTGAAAAGCAGACCTCATGTGGAAGATTCATTTGGTAGTCTTAATGCATCACCTGGAAGAGGCTGGTGGGTGTCATCTTTGTGTTGTTCTGCTGAACTCCAGAGCACCAGTATCTCCTGGAAGGCAGCTTTTTTACTTGTGTCTTGTACTTAGTGTTTACAGCTGCTGGCCAGGGATGCCCTTTAATTGTGTGGCTCTGGAACCCATGGGGCTTACTTACATTCCTGGGTCCCATGAGACTATAACAACTGGAGACTGTTCTTGGAAGAGTTTCTTCTAAGAAAAACAACTATTTGCTGGTACAGGAGGTTTGGCCTAAGAAGAAGATCTAGGGCCTATGGCAAGAGTCTTTACACTCTCCCTCTGACCTGCCCCAGTTCGATGGTCTATCTCAAAAAGGAGGTTATACTTTTGTTGGGCATTGGTTTTTGCCACTGCTGCCAGGGCACACCTGTCCATTGGCTCTGGGGCCCAGCAAGGTCCCATAAGACTGAAACCAATGGAGCAAGAGGTCTTAAGACAGCAAGAGGCAACAGACCCAAGCAGCTCAGTCTTCCAAGTGACGGAGGTCTAAGTTTATCATCATGGCTACAGCCTGAGGGGCAGGCTTCCACTTGAACACACGTCTAAGCATTAACTATAAAGCTTCCCAGGGACATTGGAGGGCAGGTGCTATTTTTCGTGTTCTCACTCTTCCTGTTCCAGAGAGCAGACTGAAACATAAGCATATTTACTTACCCTGGAGCTTCAGCCTGCTGCAGGGCAGGCCTTCCATCGAGCCCTCTTCTAGAAGCCTATAGCAATGCTCTCAGGCCATGTAGGTGGGGGCAGTACCACCTTTGTGCTCTTTCGTATTGCAGCTTGCTTCTATATTCCAGAAAGCAACTTATGTACTCAGTTGGAGCCCCAGTTTTTACTACTGTGTCTGAGGGACACCTCCCTATCATGTAGCGCTGGTGGCCACCCCAGATTGCTTGCAGTCCTATAAGGTGGTACATATTTGCATACTGTGGAAACCAAACCCTCAGGCAGCAGCTTTTAATCACCAAGAATTTAAGGTCTGAAATAATCAAGGGGACAGTGACAAGTCTTGGCACACCCTCAACTACCAAGAGGAGTTATTAAAAAGAGGCTGTTGGAACAACACAAAATTTGAGAAACAAATGGAGACAGAGCAAGGTTAGATGAAAGGTTCATCTACTTCAACACTGGGAGAGGTAACTGTTTGATCTACGGCATAGAAACTAACACAAAGTTTAAAAAAAAAATTCAACAGGAATATACCAATGAAAGGTAAAACCACGGAAAAATAGCTTAATGAAACAGAGATAAGTAATCTACCTGATAAAGAGTTCAAAGTACGGCCATAGAGATGCTAACCAAACGTGGAAGAATGGATGAACACAGTGAGAAGGTGAAAAGGAAAAGTACCAAAGAGAAGTCCTAAAACTGAAGGATACACTTAGAGGGGTTTACAGCAGAAGAGATGAAGCAGAAGAAAGTATCACTGAACTCAGAGACGGGGCACTGGCTTTCACCCAAACAGAGCAAGGGAGAAAAAACAAAACAAAACACCAAAAGCTTAAGGAACATATAGAAAACATCATTCCTAGTGTAGGGAGAGAAGTGGGCTAGAACCTGCCCTAACCTAGAGAAGGAAACCAACATCCAGATCCAGGGAACCAAAAGAGACCCACACTAAAACACATTATAATTAAAATGTCAAGGACAGGGAATTTTAAAAGCACCAAGAGAATTACTTGTTATGTACAAAAGAATCCCCATAAGATATTTAGATTTTTCAGAGGAAACTTTGCAGGCCTGATAGGACTGGCCTGATATAGTCAAAGTGCTGAAGAAAAAACTAAAACTAAAAACAAAAAAACTTCCAGGAATATTGTATTCTGCAGCATTGTCATTCAGGATTGAAGGAGAAAGAGTGTTCCAGACTAACTAAAGCTAAAGGGATTCATCACCACTAGTCATATGAAATGGTAAAGGAAGTTCTTTAAAAGCTTGCAAAGAAAAGGTGCTAATTAGTAACAAGAAAATAGTAGAGTGAAAATTTTACTGATACAGATTATAGTAAAGGTAATATATTAAATAGTATGAAGGTTAATGCAAGAGTTATAAAAGTAAGCATAACTGCAATAATAAGGGATGCAGAGAATTAAGAGGAAATAAAATGTGACACAGAAAACAAAACGTGGTGATAGGGTTGATATAAGAGTAAGAAGGGAGAGCTTTAGAATGCCTTCAAAGTTAAATTGTACTATTCATGAAAGTCCACTTTAAATTGTTACATTAGTGTATGTAAGGCTCACAATAGCCACAGACCAAAAGCTACCTAGAGGCTTACCTCTGATATACTGCAAGGTAGCTCACAGATATTTGCAATAAAGCAAGTCACATGAAATTCCTGATTTTCTAGTGCATACAAAAGCTATGTTTATACTATATTGTAGTCTACTAAGTGTGCAAACCATTACTAAAAAAAAAAAAAAAAGTACATACCTTAATTTTAATTTATTGCCCCAAATGCTAACCATCATTTGAGCTTTCAGCTAGTTGCAATCTTGCTGGTGGAGGGTCTTGCCTTGATGTTCATGGCTGGTGATTAGAGTGGCTGTGGCAATTTCTTTAAAGAATACAACCATGAAGACTGCCACATCAACTGACTATTCTATTTATAAGATTTCTCTGTAGTTTGTGATGCTGTTTGATAGACTTTTACCCACAGTACAAGTTATTTCAATATTGGGAGTCAATTCTCTCAAACTTAATTAAAAAGCAGCAGCAAGGCTTTATGTAATACTCAAAACCCTTTGCTGCCACTCTTGAAGCCACTGTTCTACCTTCACAGCATCTTCACCAGGTGTAGATTCCATCTAAAGTAACAACTTTTGCTT